TAGATGCTACAGCTTAAGAAAGAAAATTGTATGTGCTGGTCTACGTCTTCGTATAGCCCCCATATAACGGCAAATCCCTATTTTCGGTATTTCGATGATTTCAGCGACATTATTAACCGGAAATTTTTCAAATTTGGTATTTGTAGTTCCTAATGGATACTACAGCCTATGACAGACAATTGTCCGTGTAGGTCTACGCCTTCGTATAGCTCCCATATAATGGTACCTCCCGATATTTGGTATTTTGATGATTTTAGCGACTTTATTCACCAATTTTTTTCAAGTTTCACATTTGAATATTGTAATGGCTTATGGCAAAAGTTGCCTATGCAGATCCACGTCATCGTATAGTGTTGGATTGGCGTTCAATTTTATACTTTGTTCATTTATACTTTGTAATTTATTTAACATTGTGTTCTAGCTAGCCTTGATAGAAAATGTGTATGCATTGAAAATATTTTCTAATTTTCTTGTCATTCAATAAAATTCAATTGCTGTGAAAAGTCCTCGGCCTTATAATTCCAATAGGTTATGGGCCCTTAAAGAGCTTCAACAATCGACAAAAGGATCAAGGATTATCAAGAAATACTAAGGACATCAATATTTCCAGGAACAGAATTCAATAAGGAGTAAAGGCAATATGGCTGAAGCTAAACCAAGATTTTCAAAATTGAACAATTCCAATTATGCAAATTGGAAATTCAGAATGGAACTATTGCTAAGGAAGCAAAATCTATGGAAGAAAGTAATTGAAGGACCAAGACCCCGTGAAAATCGAGGAGAAGCAGGTAATATTATAAATGCGGCAGCAATTAGTGATTGGGATGAAAAGGATGACGAGGCAAGAGGCACAATCGGTCTCTTAGTGATGGACGATCAATTATGTCATATAAGGCACCTTAAAACAGCAAAAGAGACTTGGAATGCTTTAAAAGAGTATCATGAGCGAAATACATTAACGAATAAAGTCTTTTTGATGCGTTCTATATGCTCATTGAAGCTTGAAGAAGGAGATGATGCGGTAAGCCACATTAATAACATGAATGATTTATTCACAAAATTAAGAGATATCGGTGAAGAGACATTGACGGATAAATGGAGTGCTGCTATGTTACTCAGTAGTCTTCCAGAGAGCTATGATACGTTGATAACATCACTCGAATCACGCAAAGAAGAGGAGATTACGTTCGCATTTGTTCAACAAAGGGTCATTGCTGAATTTGAAAGACGACTACATTCTAATGGCGTTTCAAATGATGCTGTTATGAAAATTGCTGACAATTCCAATAAGACGTGTTTCTTTTGCAAAAAGCCTGGTCACCAAAAGAAAAATTGTGTAAAATATAAAAATTGGAAAATAAAGCAAGACACCAGCAAAAACAAGTATAAGGTTCACGCGATTGAAGAAAAGCAGGAATCGCCAAAACCGCCGAATGATTTTCTTTTCAACTTTGGAAGTGCAAGTAAAGGTTCTTGGTTAATCGATTCAGGTGCTACAAGGCATGTGGTGAACAATAAAGAATTTTTTCGATCCTTAAATGAGACATACAAAAGTACATTGCAATTAGCAAATGGCGAAAATATTTTTGTTCAAGGATTAGGATATGGTGATTTAAAGATAGTGAATGATAATGGTGTTGAACGAAAAATTTCAATGAAAGAAGTTCTTTATGTACCTACCCTTGTTGGGAATATTCTATCAGTTAGACAACTGTCAAAGGATGGATATGAAGTCAAATTTAAAGGAAATGTTTGTGAAATTACACAAAGAGATATAACAGTCGGAATTGCAGATGTTAGTGGAGAAATGTATATTTTAAGGACACCAGATGCTGTTTGTACCTTGACACAACATAATGAAAATTGTATTCATCAGTGGCATCGCAGATTAGGCCACAGGGATCCAAAAGCAATTCGTAAAATGGAAGCAGACGGATTAGTTGAAGGTATGAAAATAGTCAACTGCAATATTAAAGAATCTTGTGAAACGTGCATAAAAGGAAAAATGACTCGGCTGCCTTTTCCAAAACAGTCAACATGTTCATCTAAAGCTCCACTAGATTTAATCCATACGGATGTATGCGGACCTATGCAGACTGCAACAGCTAATGGAAAACGTTATATTGTCACTTTTATAGATGATTTCTCAAGTTTCACAGTGATACAATTGCTAAAAGAGAAGTCTGAAGTGGAAGGGACTATAAGAGAATTCATAAAGTTTTGCAATACTCTTTTTGGCAGTAACCCCAAGGTAATCCGTTCCGATAGAGGCGGTGAATATACAGGAAAACGTCTACAAGATTATTTAAAATCGGAAGGTATCCAAGTTCAATTTACCACCCCTTACTCTCCACAGCAAAATGGTAAGGCTGAAAGGAAGAACCGCACACTTGTGGAAATGAGTCGATGTTTACTTATTGACGCTGATTTACCAAAATCATTCTGGGGTGAAGCCGTGTCAACAGCAAACTACATACAAAATCGAGTGCTAACGAGAGCAACAAAACAAACTCCTTATGAATTATGGTATGGTAAGAAGCCAGATGTTTCAAATATTCATATATTTGGTTCAAAATGTTTCGTACATATACCATCTGAAAAGCGGCAAAAGTTAGATTCAACGGCAAATCAGATGATTTTTCTCGGATATGATGCAAATTCAAAAGGCTATCGATGTTACGATGCGTCTAAAAACAAGGTTGTCGTAAGTCGGGATGTAAGATTTACAGAAGTAGAATTAAGAGATTGCTCAATGGATTTCCCACAAAAGAAACAAGGCACATTACAGATTGAGGAGGAGAATTTACCAGTTTCAGATTCTGTTTCCAATAGTGATGAAAATCTAACATCAAGGTCTGTTTCAAGTAATCAAGAAAATGAAGGAGCAATCAGTAATGTGCAAATTCAGGAGGAGAGTGAGAATGATGAGGAGCAAACAGTACGCGTGTCCAAAAGATCAACTAAGGGTATTCCAGCTAAACGATTAATAGATGAAATTTGGATGGCCAATCACGAACCAGAACCGAAAACGTATGATGAAGCTATTAAAGGCGATGATAAGGACAAATGGTTTGATGCTATGCAAGAAGAAATAAAAGCTATGAGAACTAATAATACATGGGACATAGTACCATTACCTGAAGGGAGGAAAGCGGTGGGCAGTAAATGGGTTTTCAAATTAAAAAGAAATGCCAATGGGGATTTTGTTCGTTATAAAGCAAGACTCGTTGCCCAAGGATATTCGCAGAAATATGGAGTAGACTACAATGAAGTGTTTTCGCCTGTCGTCATGCATACAACTTTTCGAATGCTTCTCTCTGTTGCTGCGAAACGAAATCTGATTGTACAACATATAGATGCAAAAACCGCATTTCTCAATGGAAATTTGGAAGAAACAATCTACATGGTACAACCGAAAGGTTTTGAAGATGGAAATGAGAAAAATGTTTGTTTATTAAAGAAGGCCATATATGGGTTGAAGCAAGCTTCAAGGTCGTGGAATAATTTATTGAATGAAACATTGACAAAGGCAAAATTAAAACAAAGCGTGAGTGACCCCTGTTTTTATTCCGGATATATATTAGACCAAATATGCTATATTATTATATATGTTGATGACATAATTTTGGCATGTTCAACAACTGATCAGATACAATGTATAGAAAAAATATTATCTGACAGTTTTGTTATGAAGAATTTGGGAGATATAAGAAGTTATTTGGGAATTCAAATTAGTAAAGATTTATATGGAAATTATGAAATTTGTCAATCCCAATATATTAAAAGATTAGCAGATGAGTTTGGCCTAGGAAGTTGCAAGTTGTCAAAATCTCCTATGGATATAAATTACGGAAAGAAAAACAATTCAAATTTGTTGGAAACTAATGCAAAATATCGAAAACTTATTGGTCATTTACTTTATATATCTGTTAATTCGAGACCAGATATTTCTGCATCAGTATGTTTCTTGTCACAGAAGGTTTCAAATCCGTCGGAAGAAGATTGGAAACAAAGTAAACGAGTTGTAAAATATTTGGTGCACACTGCAAGCATGAAATTAAACTTGAGCAATGTTCAAAAAGATAATTTGGAATTAATTGGTTATGCAGACGCATCATGGGCTGATGATCAAATTGGAAGAAAGTCAACAAGTGGTCGCATATTTTTTTATAATGGAGGAACAATATCATGGACGTGTCAAAAGCAATCCATCGTCGCTACTTCCACTTGTGAGGCAGAATACATATCTATGTCTGAAGCCGGAAAGGAAACTAAATGGTTGCGACAACTGCTCAGAGATTTCAATGAACCTCCTACCAAACCTACTGTTATTTTCAATGATAATCAAAGTTGTCTTCGAATTCTTACAGATGATAAATTTTCATTTAGAACAAAACATATGGATATTAAATATAAATTTACAAAGGAATTGGTGAAGAACAATATAATAATTTGTGAATATTGTCCGACTGAGGATATGATAGCGGATATTTTAACAAAGCCTCTACCAATATCAAAACACGAATTTCTACGTTTGAAGTGTAATATAAAATGAACGAGGAGGAGTGTTGGATTGGCGTTCAATTTTATACTTTGTTCATTTATACTTTGTAATTTATTTAACATTGTGTTCTAGCTAGCCTTGATAGAAAATGTGTATGCATTGAAAATATTTTCTAATTTTCTTGTCATTCAATAAAATTCAATTGCTGTGAAAAGTCCTCGGCCTTATAATTCCAATATATAGACCCCAATAAAACGGCTACATTCGGTATTTTAAGATTTTAACCGTATTTTTGACGGATTTTATTTTTTGAAAAATTGCCAAATTCGTTCCGAGTGGTGAAGGGTATTCAAAGTTCGGCCCGAGCAATATATTAAAAGTAATGAATTCTAAAATTAAAAAAATGTAGTAGCATAAGTTGAAATACTTGTTCTTTATCCCCTAATTGCTTTCCAAATAGTAATCGTTATTTGTTTTTCGTTTTTTCTTCCTTTAGCTGCTCAGCCAAAGTCCACAAACGTAAAACCAATAATACCACCCAAAATTACAATTACCGCGCCGGAAACAACATCGCCTAGCCACGAAGTCACTAAGCTACCAACCACAAATGATCTAACTCCTGAACAACGTATGAAACATGTTAAAAGTTTGCTACATCAAAAGCTTATGCAAAGACAGAACTCCTCACCGCCAACATTCTATGTCAATGAAAAGGGGCAAAAACAATATGCCCATCTGAAGCCGCCCAGCAATGTAATGCAGCAGTCTCCGCCACCTTTACAACCACCAGCACCACAAACAATTCCAAATTCAGCTACTACACCCTCAACACCACCCTCACGGATTTTCACCAAAAATTCCAGACAATTATTACAAAATTCAGATGTGGAACGAAGGCATGATCAGCAATTCGCTGGAGATCCAAAAGTACCGATCAATAATGGCACCCAACATGTGAAAGCAAGAAGTAATACTGCCGCTCCACCCCAACATTATGCCATTAGCCATGACAATCAATGGGGGTCAACACCAAATCTATATCAAAAATCGGGAGCCTTCTTGCCATATTCAGCGCCAACTATAAGTGGAAATCAATCGAGAAATCCCTCATTACCCAATCATGGGGGAGATGAATCGCCATTTAATATATATTCTCATATAAATCTGCCTGCTTCACACAGCTTGAATGTGACACAACACAATTTTAAGCTCAACAACCACAATAGACAACAGCCTTCGGATCAATGGGGTGAAATTTTTCAGGATAATTATAATCGCAATGCGAACCATATACCATATTTGTCAACAACAGCCGCTCAACATTTGCCCAATCTAAACCAAGCGCTGCCCACAACAATTGCAAACAAAAATTATGGCACACCTCCACCGCCAGCACCCCCACCCCTTTCAGCCTCAGCAATGGCAGATCATTCAACACCCGAATCCGAAATGTCAAACATCCCATATAACAATAATCCCGATATTATGATAAAACCTCTGAATGCCAACAACAAAAACTTGCTAAATTCTCCATATGTCTTTAATAAAAACTTTCAAGGACATGCATTGCAACACAGCACCCCCAGCAATAAGCTACCAACAAAGCCAAAAACGCCACAAAAATCTCCCCAAGATATAGCAAGGAAGCTAGATTTTGATGGACAAACCAAGCCTCCAACTACCATTGCCAAACCACAATATTACACCGCACCTAATGTTCCACAAATCAGTGGTGGTGGTGATTGTGATATACCCAAGGCTTCGGTGAAGCCAGTACATACTCAAATTTCAATGGTCAAACAATCTGAGACATCACCAGCTTCAATAGCGAAACAACGAATTGTAGTACCCGATGTATCTCCCCTAAAGACTCCTTTTCCCACAGCAAATGTGCCGCAGGAGGCTCCATTACCCAACATTGATATCTTTAAGAAGCCCTATCCATCACCAAATCAAAGTTACTATCAAATGTTGGCACACAACAATGTCATGGAGCCCCCCACAACCTCTTATCACTTGGCCAATAACACATCCGATGCAGAAGAGGCTGCTGCTGAGAGTGTGGCAAACACAACTTCAACTGTGTCCGTGCCTGTTAATAATTCCCTAGCTCCCAATTCGCTAATTGTTCTGGAAAACAAGGTACTCTCCCAGGATGAAATGATTGATTTGACGGCCTTACGTTTGTCCACCTCTAAATTTGATGCCCCACAGCGTTTTGCAAGGCCTCACAAGCCCATTCCCGAAGTGGTTATAAAACAAGAAAATCCAGATGATTTTCCTGCAGCTGAAAGCACCTCTACATCACCCAAAATACATGACTCTTCGGAGCAAACCTCGGTTACAGCTGCAAGTCCACCCTTGATACAACCTCTGAACAGTCAAAATCCCAATCAAAAAGGCATGGTACTTATCTCTTCAAGGCAAAATAAAAAGATTATTGTAAATGCCTCGAAGTTGCAGTTACCGCCTGAGAAGATTGCAGATTTGGCAAAGATTATTGCCCAAAGGGCTGTGAACAAGGCATCAAACACAAGTGACCAAACTGGTAAGATATCGGGGGGAGAGCGTCAGATGCAAATTGGCAAAACCACAGGGGAAGATCTAAAGCCGAAAACCATTGCCGGGCAAAAAGTTTATCTGATTGTGAGAAAAAATACAACCCCTCAAAAGTCGGATGGAAATACGGCTACCACACCGGCAATTGTGAGTTTTACAAATAAGCAAGTACCTCTCCAGAAACAAAATTTCAACACTCCTTATCAACCCCAGCCTACCTTAAATCATGAAAGTCGCCAAGAAACCATGCCCTCTAAATCAACAAAACTCTCTTATACGCCTACCAAATACTTGAAACCAGCTGTTGAAATAGTGGATGAGCCCATGGATGAGGATGACGAAGAAGCAAATTTCTCCGCTGTTGACTTCATTGCATCATTGGCCAATAACAATCCCATTACCGAAGAAACCCAATTAGAATTATCGCCCGAGGAGTTGAATTTAAATGCCTCTTGTGCCATGAATCTATCACCTCTGCGTATACCAAATGCTGCTTCACCACGTAGACGTCACGCTTCCACATCACAGTTTACCACACCGGGCGCCGAGGATGTTATCAGCCCCAGGAGGGTGCGTACCAATTCCCATATGGACATTGGAAAAGTTGTAAATATGAACAGCGATGATGAGTACAATTCCTCCTATGTACCCATGGTGGACACAATTATTATCGAAAGTTCCAAGGGCCGTGATGTTCTGCGAAAATCCGTAGATAATGGAGAGAAGGATTCCAGGCAAACGCCGATTTATAGGCTTGGTGTTGATCCTAATTCAATGTGGCAACCGATAAATACAATTGGAGAAAGAGGAAAAAAGTCATCATCCCCGAAAGTCACCAGTACCATGTCGCCACAAGAAGAACTCAAACAATACCTAAAAGCAAGATTACCACAAATAAAAATAGTTTCACCCTCCAAATTATCACCTATTAAAAAAGATATGTCTATGCCTAGGGATATTAATTTTAAGGTGTTAAACATGGCAGAAAACTCAGTAGAGAATTTGAACAGAAATATGAATTCAGTAGAATCTGCCAAGGAACACATTGGCAATCTTAATGAAAAATTGCCTGTAGAGAGTTCTAGAAATATTTCCATTGGAACTCCCACTAATGATTTGAAAATATCTGAAATTATAAGTGCAAGTCATTCCGATGGAGAAGATCAAATTAGAAAGATTTTGATGGGGACTTCAGTTCGGAAAAAGAAAGAAACAACCACAACAAGTATAGATGTGAAGGAAATTTCAGTTCCCAATAAGGAAGAGAGAATATTGAGCAAAAGAGATTCTATGCCAATGGAAAACACTCTTCCTACAAGCGAACTCATGATAAACACACCAATGGAAACGGAAATTTCAGTTCCCAATAGAGAAGAGAAACCTCAGCAACAAATTACAACAGATGAAACACCTGCCAACAAAACTGATAACCAGAATTCGACAAAGAATTTCGAACAGACGTTGAAAATTTCAAATAATGATAAGAACATAACTTCCTCGGAAGCTGGAATTGGCAATGAAACGCTGTCGGAAACTTACAACTCACATTTAGGAAAAGACAATGAGTCGTCCAGAGCGAAAGAAGCTGAGCCGATTACCAAAACATTAAATATTTCTGACAAAGAAGAGAATAAATCCAAAAACGGCGAGCCAAATTCGATAGTTTCGAAAAGAATATCACGTTTTAAGAAGGGTAAAATCAATTTGGTACAACGTAATAAACCTACAGCGCCCACGGTTGGGGCAAAGAAGCCAAAAGAACAGATGTCAACGGTGGCCACAACAAATAATGCTGCAGCCACCGCAAAGGAGAACGCACAACAAAAGCTCAAAGATGCTGCAATTTCATCAGATTCTATGAAGACGAAAGGAGATATTGGAATACAGCAGAACAAAGAAATAGAACCAAATTCAGTAGGCACCAATGCAGATTTAATCGAAACAGCCGGAGAGAAGGATATTGAGACTAAGGGAGAAGATCCATTAACAACTAAGGCATCGTCTTCCGAGCAAAACCGAGCAAAAGAAATGTCAAATGCTGTGGAAGTTACTTCAGATTCTTTAAATATTGCAGAAAATTGCAGGACTGCGAAAAAAGGAGAGAAAGAAATCGAGGAAGCATCCTGCGCAGAGCCGAGCACAGAACCAATATCAAATGCAGCAGGAAATTCTTTAGAAGAGAATGATCCCAAAACTGGTGGAACAGCATCGATTTTAAATGAAAGTGCTTTAACAACCATTGAATTGGAAAACAGAGAACAATTAGGAAATCTAGCCGAAAATTTCTCTGCCCAGGAGAACCGAAAACCAAAGGAAAAAGCAATTGCTGGCATGCAAATTAGAGGGGAAAATCAATCCAATACTGGCGGAAAAACAACACAGGAAATCGAGAATCCAGCAATTGCCGAGAACAATCTTGAAGAGTCTAAAATTGCATCTTTGGACAAAGAATATCCATCGGCATCTGTAGAGGTGAAAGATTGTGAAAAAGCCACAAAACAAGCCCTGATTGAAACGGGAAACGAAATGGATATCAATATGACCAAGAATGTTTTTGGGGATGAAGATGGAAACAATCAGTTGATGGAAACATCACAAAGTGTGAACAGAGAGGATATTGATTCTTCTAATTCTGTATTGCCTGAGGTACAAACAAATCATGCAAATGAAACTGAGACTGTTTTAAAAACACACCAAGATGTGGCCGAAACGAAATCCTCTAAAGATGATAATCAGGTTGGAAAGAGCGTTTTCGAAACACCTGATGGCACTGAAACAATTATTACAACCCAGGAGTGCAATGAAGACATCGGTACCGAAAATTCTATTCTTTTCGAACATCCCACAAATCAAGTATTAAAAGAATCACCCGAAGCTCAATCCTTATCCAAGGCATCTTCAATTGCAACAAGTGAAGATATGGGACCACAATCCATATCCAAAAGCTCTGTAGTTTTTAAAAGTTCTGAAAAACCTACATGTCCAACATCCGATGAAGCAAATACAGATGGTTCAACTCAACCCCTCTCCAAGGACTCTGAAAATCTTCTCGTTCCCATGGAACCAATTGAAAATACTGGTACTGAGAATTCGAATGCAAAACCATTAGAAACAAACACTGCAGCTCATTCCAAAAATTATGAAAACGATCCCCTAAGTTCTCAAGTTGAACGACCAGATACTTCCATTCCAGAGGTATCAAAAAAATCTGAGGAAATTTCTACAACCGAGTCTCTTTCTTTGGACTCCAATTCTAAAAATGAAAACAATGACACCTGCCAAAGCATTGAAACAATCCCGAAGCCTCCTATTTTAACGGAGAATATCCCCACTCAAGCAGGAAATATTGGATCGTTGGGAGCAAATGATGATGTTAACCAAAACAAGAGGTGTACTGAAGAAAATATAACAGATAATAACACCACGACAATAAAAGCAATTGAGTCTAAAAATCAGACACCTGAAAGTTCTGAAGGGAGGAATATCTGTCAGATGCCGGAGGATATTTCTTCTGGGCCGGGTATTGAAGGTGCTCAGCATAAAGCAAATGTTGAGGTAGATGTAAATAATTCGTTGGAAATTTGCAGAGAAAATCAAGATCTTTATGAATCAAGGGAAACTGGAAAATCTCTTGAGAATAACACAGGTTCCTCTCAAATATCCGACGGTGAAGAGATACGTTCAAAGACCTTAAATGTGGAACAAATAAGAAAAACAATCGAGGTAGTTATGAATGAATCTCCTCACGATTCCTTATCGGATAATCATTTGGGTACTGAGCAAAATTCTTTAGAAGCTAATAATTCCTCCAGTGTAGATAAAGCTGCTGCCAAAAAATCTTTAGATGCTAAACATTCCAATTCCCAGAATTGCAACAAAACGTCGACCCCCAGGGAAATGAGAAAGTCAATCAAACAGCTAATGATGAAATCTTTGGCGGAAGAAAGCAAACCAACTACTTCCGGAACATTCTCGCCAGCACTGGAAACCGCTGCTCAATCCAAAGAATTACAAACTGTCCAGATTTCTCTTGCTGATATTGTAAAGAATCCACCAACAACGGGGCAACAGACACCCCCACCAAAAATACCCTTTAAAAGACCCATTAATCGAATGTCAAGATTGGAGCAAATTAAGGGTATAAGGGATTTACTAAATAAAATTAAGAAACCCGAAGAGAAGGAAGTGGAAAACAAAGGCAATAATTTACCTGGAGCAGATGCTGGCAAGTCGAAGACAAATGAGGAGTGTCAAGTTACTCTAAATATGTCTCAACCCACAATAAGTATTAAAAAGCTGAGCGATTTAATACCAGGTGACAGCTGGCTGCAGCGTAAACGTCATAAATCGGAAGGTGAATCTGAAACAGTGCCGGAATGTGCGGACTCTCCATCGGGATCACATGAAATTTCTGAAACGCCAAGTCCCATAAGACGTAGAAGATCTACCCGATTGGGTTTGTGTAACATTAATGAAAGTAAAGTGGACATACCTACGAGGGACATACCTGCTGAGGGCAAGATGTCAGAAGGTCTTAAGACTTCTAAAAATCAAAATCAAATACCTTTAGGCATGGATGCGAAAGATACCAATTTGCCAGATGATAGTCCCACAAAAGACAAGGAAAATCAATTAAAATGTTCTAGGCGGACACGGCGCTCTTCTAAACAAGGTGAGAAAAATAATGACCCCACATTTGTGGAAATCAGCACAGAAGAAGTGGGCAAGAGAACTCGACATGCCTCTAAGACCGCAGATGTTGCTTTCACTCCCTTTGATAAATTAAAGGACACAAGTTCTTGTCCCCTAAAAAGAATACGTTTATGCTCGAAATCCAGTGACACCGAGCACACCTCTGAGAGACTTCCTCATTTATCGTCTTCGCTTGATATTAGCGATTCTTGTCATGATAGCACCACAGAACATAATTCAGGGAAAATCTCAAGCCAGAGTCCACGAAAACGATTGCGCAAAACATTGGATGATATTAAAAAATCCCATAAAATTGCCAGTGACTCGGAGGATGAGCGAGAATTTGATAGCATATCCAATGGCTATGGAGATGAGGAGGGTCCCAGTGATTTCCTTGGGTTTGAAGACAATTCCTCCCTAGGATCATCGAGTAAATGCAAAACTCCTGATACACACTCCATGGATGGCCATGAAAAGAATTCACCTACCAAGGCTTCCACAACCAAGGGGGGCACATTGAAAAATTGGCTTACCACCGGCAAGGCAATTTCACCAACGTCCATTAAAGATGGAGTGGCATCCATAACGACGCGGCAGCGTCAACGTTCTATGCCACTGAAAAAGCGTTGGGATGCCAAACAAAAATCAATAGAAGAGACTGATATAACCGATGATAGCACACCTGCCAATGATGAGGACGATGATGATGAAGAGGTGCAGAAGAATGCGTTAGCAGAGGCCTTAGATGAAAAGAAAATCAAGGGAAATAAAAGATCTGTAAAAACTGTGATTAATAGCGATAAGGATTCATTAAGTGCTAAAAGGAGGAAGAAGGATAACAAGAAGGAGGCTTGCAATAGCAATGTTAGTTCTAATACCACAAAATCTATGGCTGAACCAAAATCGGTGGTGATATCCTTAAAGGGGGAGACAACAAACAAAATATCTGAAACTGATTCTGATACCCCCTCGGCCGTTGGTCGGAGAGTAAAACGCCCCCGGAGGCGTTTAATTTCCGATGATTTTGTAACGGATGCAAAAAATAACAGGGAATCAAATGATAAAGTTAATGAACCACCCAGAGTGGAAATCACCGTCGAAGAAAAGCCAGCAAGCAGACGCAAACAAAGATTTCCCCAAAAAGAAATGCAAAATGAGATTGAAATCATAGAACCATCAGAGAATAATACGGCAACCAATGAAAGTCTTGTTGAAACGAACGATACGAATGAGGAGCTACTCATACCTATGCCCTCGAAGAGAAAACGTGAAAGAAAAAAGAAATATGATGTAAACATTCCTGAAAGCGTTGCCACTAATACACCTGCAGCTAAAGCAAAAAGAGAGATTTCTATAAAACCGACAACATCTTCAAGGCGGCGATCGAAAATCGATCGATCACAGGCTGTAGAAGAGGTGAGTCAAGAGGCCACAAAAGAATCCCTTGAAGTCTCACAAATCAATGAAACTGCAATCGAGCAAACGGAAGAGTTCACAACGCCGTCCAAGCCGAAAGGCAAACGGGGAAGAAAAAAGAAAATACTCACAGAGTGCGCATCATCAACCTCAATATTGGATGATGGAAAAGTGGAGAGTCCACAGAAAATCGTAGAACCACTTGATGTCTCACAACCCACGGAAGAGTTCACAACACCACAGCCCAAGGGTAAACGGGGAAGAAAAAAGAAAATACCGAATGAAGTTGATACGCCGGAAATAAGTACTCCTCAATCTGATGAACCCAAAACACCTGCAGCACAGAGTAGGCCAAGACACAGGACAGCGGAAAATCAATTTAATGTTCGCCTATTGCTCATAACCAAACGTGAACAATTGGATACGGATGAGGTACTAACATTCGAGTCCAATCCAGGTTCGGGACCAATTCAGTGTGGCCTCTGTTTGAAACGTACCACCGAATCCAAATGGATAATTCATTTGTCACAACATTACGGTGTTGGCTGGAAGATTGGAGAGCAGGAAGTGGTGAGTAGCAAAATAAATTTTTAAATAATAATACCCGCTTGTAGCCTTAATCTCGATGGTCAGTACAAAGTATATTTATTCCTGATCAGCAAAAAATTCTATGTCGATTTAGCGATGTCCGTCCGTCTGTGGGAATCACTCTAGCTTTCGAACGAAATGAAGTACGTTGATAACATTTCACTCAAATGTATATTATATCTGTAGGACTTTTGGTATTGAAAATGGGCCGTGTAGGCCCCCATATAACGGCACCTCCCGACATTCGGTATTTTGATGATTTTAGCGACATTATTCACCCGAAATTGTTTCAAATTTGGTATTTGAAGTTCGTGATGGATATTACAACCTATGACAGAATATTGTCTGTGAAGGTCCACGTCTTCGTATAGCCCCCATATAACGTTACCTCCCGATATTCGATATTTTGATGATTTTAGCGACATTGTTTAATGGAATTGTTTCAAATTTCGGTATTTGAAGTTCGTAATGGCTGATACAGCCTAAGACTAAAAATGGGCCATGTAATTCCACGTCTTCGTATAGTGCCCATATAACGTTACTCCCGATATTCGGTATTTTGATGATTTTAGCGACATTATTCATCTGAATTGTTTCAAATTTGCTATTTAAAGTTCGTAATGGATACTACAGCCTATGACAGAAAATTGTCTATGCAGATCCACGTCTTCGCATAGCCCCCATATAACGGTACCTCCCGATATTCGGTATTTTGATGATTTTAGCGACATTTTTCACCGGAATTGTTTCAAATTTGGCATTTGAAGTTCGTAATGAATACTACAGCCTATGACAGAAAATTGTCTGTGCAGATCCACGTCTTCGCATAGCCCCCATATAACGGTACCTCCTGATATTCGGTATTTTGATGATTTTAGCGATATTTTTCACCGGAGTTGTTTCAAATTTGGTATTTGAAATTCGTAATGGATATTACAGCCTTTGACAGAAAATTGTCTGTGCCGGTTCATGCCTTCGTATAGCTCCTATATAATGGTACCTGCCTTTATTGGGTATTTTGATGATTTAAGCGACATTATTCACCAGAACTGTTTCAAATTTCGTATTTAAAGTTCGGAATCGTTACTACAGCCTATGACAAAAAATACTTTTGCAGAACCACGTCTTTGTATAGCTTCCATATAAAGGTGTTCATTTGAGCGGTATTTTTCGGGGATTTTTTTCAATTTTTAAGTTCTTTCCGATTAGTGCAGGGTATAAAAAGTTCGGCCCGACCGAACATAGCTTCTCTTTTACTTGTATTAATTACATGATTTATACTTATATTATATTAGAATATACTTATACTTATATTAGAATATTTTTTTTTGTTTTTTTTCCTACAGGAAATAGATTATCGTCCCTCAGTTCTAAATGCAATAATAACCTTTCTCAAAGACACCGAACTAAAGGGCTTAGCCTGTCGCATGTGCAACAAACTCTATCGTTCGGGCTTGGGACTTTTAACGCATATTGAAAATTGCGGCAGTGAAGCTCAACGGGCGGACTGTGAATATTGTCATCGGAATTATGCTCTTAGTACGTTGACTGCACACGTACGATCGTGTCCGGAGAAATTCAAACAATTGAAGGAAACCGAATCATCCGATGCAGCTGATATTGCGGACACGGCGCCGGCGGAGGAACAAGTTTTAAGTGCAACAGGTCGGGCAAAACGTCACTCGACAATCAAGGCTGAAACGAAAATCAAACAACTCGGTGCCGATTTGATTACGAATGCTGAAGAAAAACATGATTTCAATCCACAGGATTTCATACGTTATACAGCTCCGTTGGGTGATGATGTGCGAGAAAAGTGGTCCAATGATATCAGGAAATTTGAAAAAGCCTTTTGTCCGAACAAATTGTGTCAATTTGTAAGCGATAAAATCGAGCAGCTAGAACAACACATTGCATCTTGTCGTTTTATTGCAAAACCGGGCTATTATTGTACAAGTTGTAAACGGCTTCGTTTCGAAACCGAAAAGGAAGCTGTGACTCATGTCAATGCAACCCATCATCCCAAAGAAGATTTTTCTCTATCCGATTCGGATTGTAACATTAAAACCGATGATGAACAATCATCGGATGATGGTGATAATGATTTATCCGATGCTGTCGAAGAAGATGAAAATGAATTGAACGATGTGGAAACTGCTAAGAGTTTTAAGAGGAAGAGAACATCAAAAGCAATGCCAACCGGAATTAATTTCCGCAAAAGAGGTAGGATATATATGTTTTTAATAATACTAAAAAACAACAATACCTTGCCATAAAAATATTTTCATTTCACCGTCGGAGATTTAATGTTTCAAACTAATTTTTCTAAATTTCACTAAATTGAATCGTTGGTAATTTAGGTCCACGTAGAAAACGTAAGTTAAATTGTATCGGATAGCATTGTTCCTCTACAAAACGACGTTGTAGGCCTAATAAAAGTGATGATAAATAGAAGACTTTTTACTGGCTTAATTCATGGGTCAGTTTCGCCAATAATTTATACTTGTTCACCCTACGTCCTTTGTTCCTTTAGGAAGCCCGTAAAAATGTTCTATGCCTCCGAATCTTAAGTTTTGAACTAATCGTACTTGAGCACCCCAACTAAGTACTGGTTGGTCAGTTCGCCCATATAAATCTTCATACGATTTCTTGAGATTTAGCAACAGAAATAATTAATATAACCAACCCTGTGGTCTACCTCTCTTTGCTGCTGCATTGTTTTCTTCCACAAAAATTCCACATCCCAGCATGCTTCCGGCATGCTTTATTAAAAAAAGGAACCCTATTATTATACCCTACAACACTATGTGTTGGGGTATTATAAGTTTGGTTTGGCTAAAAATTATGTTACTCCTCGAAATATTGGTTCCCGATATAAGAAACTATTTATGCATCTTTCTATCTCGCCGAGCAGAGACGATTTAGCTATGAATGCCCGTGCGTTCGTCTGTCCATGTTAATGGATTTGTGGAGTTGATCGCATAATGGACAAAAGGCTTGAAATGGACAAAAGGCAGAATTTTTTTTTTTGATTTTACAGCTGCTCTACAGGTCTAAATTATAGACCAATCGAGGCGGAATTTAGCAAGGGGCTAGAGTTTAGGGCTGGTCAGAAGCCTATCATCTTTTTTCGTCATCGGACAATTTTTACCGGGTAAAATAGACCATTACTTTTATGTAAAAACAACATAATGGTACGGGTATTATGTATTTTTACATTTGTTTATAACATGGAGAAGAAAGCGAGATAGACCCATAGTTACTTTTGAGGATATTCATAGAATCACTTTCTGAGTCGATTTATGCATGCCAGTCCATTAGTCCATGTATGCATTTACTGGGTGAGGTAAAAAACCGCAACAAAGTCAAACGCCATAATTTTTAATTTTTTTTTTAAATTTTATTAAATGAAACGAAAAGAAATTTCCGAAATAGCATAAAATTTTAGAATAAGTTTAGATTTGTTCGAATTGGTCACCTTTGGCACGAATTATGGTCTTCAAACGGCCAATGAAACCGTTACACGCTGCCCGAATGTTGCTCTGCGGTATTTTGACCCATTCCGGAGATTTTGGTTGACATTATGCGCTGGAAATGAAGCGATGAGCCTCATTTTATAACCATTCTTGGGTGGCGCGTTCTGAGTGCGATGGTGCTGAGTCCTGTTGGAATGTCCAAGGTCTGCGGCCAAAATGTTTTGCGTGCTATTCGACTTTTATTCTGATGCCATGGTCGATTAATATGAGCGGAGAGCGCCCATCGGCTGTTATGGCGGCCCACACCATCACCATGGCCGGCGCATGAGTTTTGGTGGCCAACCGCAGGTGCACATTTTCAGCTGACCTCTTTGGCAAGTAAACATGACCATTTTGTTTGTTTACAAACTGCTGGACAACGAATGTTTTCTCATCGCAGAAACTCAAATTCGGCAGTTCACCTCTTTCGGCCAAGCGAAGCAACTCTTTAGCTCTTTTGAGTCTATTTGCTTTTTGTTGCGGTGTAAGTTCTTGCACTTTTTGGAATTTCAATGGCTTTACCTCGAGTTTATTTTTCAATATTTGCCGAATGGAATATTGCGATATGTTCAGCTCACGCGACATTTTTCGGCCATTTCGGGTTTCGATCAAGTCGCTTCTTTACTTTTCGAACCATTTCTGCTGATGTTGCGTTTTTCTTCCGTCCAATTCCTTGACGGCGGGCTACGCTCCCAGTATCACGATAACGAGCGATGGTACGAGACACAAAAGATTTATTCACATTTAAATGCTGAAGTGCTCTAACGATAGTCAATTGTGGTTTCCCAGACAAATTTAACGAAATCACGCTATCACGTTTGAATTCCGAATAATTTTTTTTTTTTTTTTGGAAAATTCTCACCAAAATGCTTTGTACGCTTGTAAACAATATAAAGAGCTATCGCTGGAATAATTTTAACAGCTGTCGGACGAGTGTTTTAGAAATGAGAGCAGTTTAAAGTTGTTTGCCGTTTTTTTCATCTCACCCTGTATTTAGGGGTTCAAATGGACCAAAAGTTAAAATTTTCCTGATCTGCAATGGTTCTACAAGTTACAATTAAAAAACAATCGATATGGAATTTTGCATGAGGTTAGGGTTTAGAACAACGCAGAAGTCTAGCACGACTCTTGAATTATATTAAGAGGGCAACTTGGACCACAACTTTTGTGTGCAATTGTTTAGGATACCTATTAGCTCATAGCACATAGAGTGTAAATATAAGCAAAATATCTCCGGTAAGAAACCAAAGGTAACATTTGCGCAGGACAGTATGGATTTAATTCAAATAATCGACTAAAATGTGTTTGGACTTAAGAACGTTTTCAAATATATAACAGTGTTGTAGGATATCACATGGTCGGCCCCGCACGACTATAGTCTTTGCTAATTTGTTTTTCTCATTTCCTTGAAATCTCCTGTGGTTTGAAAAACTTTATACTTTTATAATTTTACTTCACTTTTTTCTTTTAGTCTTTGAAAAACGCAACCGTGATGGCCCAAATAAAATGGTTTTGGAAAAATGGTTAAATTTGTAAGTACTTCCCAAAATAATCTATGAATTTACTTTTAACTAATGGCTTTTCTTTTCCTCTTCCAGCACAAGCCTGAATTATTCCATGAAACCCTTGTTTGAGAATTTTAAGCCGCAATACGCCAAATGCAATATGGAAAATTTGGAAAAATATCTACCAAATCAAAATATTTCCATGAAATTTGTCATGTCAACGAAGAAGAAATTGCCACCTGCCATTGGTTTGCCTCCCGATGGCGATGAGGAATGGCAACAAATTGAACGTTTTGAAAAATTCCATTATGAATGTAGGTCAATTGTTCTTTGAATTAAAAAAAAGATTACTAATTGAATTTCTTTCAGCTGATGCCATTTGTTTTGTGGGTGCCCCGATTATCAGCTGTTCCTGGATACCATTACCCAATGATGTTCGTGAACAATATCTGTTGGTAGCCTATCGCAGAGATATGTTTAAGTTTACAAAATTTCAAAATCCCAAACGTTTCAAAACGAGTTTAGTTTTGTTTAAAGTTACGCAAAATAAGATGCATGGCAAACGAGTGCCGGAAATGCATGTGCATTACATCATTGCCATAGAAAATGGTCCAGTTTATAATATGGCATTTCTACCAAGTGGCGGCTACAATTTGGAGGATAATCGTCTGGGTTTGGTTGCTGTGGCAACAGCTGATAGTAACATAAATATTTATGCCTTACCCATTGAGGTGTCTCCGAAAGCAGAAAATTCCAATGACCTTACAGTAATTGAATTGAAACCAAGTTTTGAATTAATGATAGACATTATGAGCCAGCATGGCAGTAGTGATGATCATGTCTTGTTAAATCCGCAATGTTTGCAGATATGTTGGTCGGAGGTAATATTATGAGTTTTGTATTAAAATTAGAATTCTAATATATTTTTCATTTCCGTAGTTTAATGGCCACAACCATATCTTTGCAAGCTATTCAAATGGCTGTCTGGGTATGTGGGACATAAGTGATGATGCTGAAGAGAACTTAAATCGGTTTGAAGTTAATGGTATCATACAATATGCTCCCTTGAACTACTTTTATGTGGGAGAAAAGGGCGTACGCTGTAAGTTGGAGAATTTTTTAAAAAATTCTATATAAAAGGAAATTTTTTTACTTATTTCCTCTTTTCCAGATTTTGCTGTACACTATGACAGCCTTGGACCCCGGTGGCTGGCATTAAATTGCTTTTACCGCAAATTTCTTATATATGATATACGAAATTTCAATCTGCCTATACCATTGAAGGAAGATTATGCACGTAATGTGGTGCGTGGTCTGGAATGGTGTCCCCTATGGGAACCTGTCATGGTGGCCTATTGTGATGCAATACCAAATAGTGAGTATTGTAAACTTTTAAACAATACATTCATATCTAATCTATAAAATTGGCAATTTTCAGATGGCCGTAGTGTGTTATTGATCAATCCCACAAATATTATGTCACAACAACAAAAATTGGATTTTGTTGTCAGTGCTGTTACCGGTGTCCACTATAATCCATGGACAAATATGTGTGTGGAATCGGTGGATAATGGTGATATCGTATTTATGGATTGTCGTGAAATGCACTATGAACTGGTGTTGGGTAGAAAATTTGGCGAGAGGCGTATACTTTCTTCGATGGACATTAAACAATTGGACGGGACACCACTGAAAAGACTGACGGATGTTAAAGAAAATGAAAAACTTCAAATGGAATGGTCAATGTATGATAATGACTATAAGGAGAAGTATGGGTTGGTTTTACAACCATTGATAAAGGTAAGTGCATTGAGAAGAGATGGGGGAAAAGATCATATATAAATGATAAAATAGGTTAAATTTACTATGTACTTTTAGACAATTTTCTATCTCTTTTGACTTTTTTAATTTTTGTTTTTCTTTTACCAGCTCAAGGAATCATTAAAAAGCACTTACTTGAGTGAAAAACGAAGAGCTCCCATTAATGTTACACCCTATTTGCGTATCAATACCCTGCGTTGCAACCTCAATAAAAGTGCAAAGAAATTAGTTGCTGTTGGCTATGAAAATGGTTTCATACGTATTATACATTTCGATAAGGACTCACAATACCGGAATTGTTAAGGAAAACCAAAACAAACATTATGAAAACATTGTATACTCTATTGTAAATAAATTTATTATTATAGTATATTGTGTAATATACATAAATATTATTATTAAAAAAATTGTTAACCTATGTAGTCTCTATGAACTCTACATAATAATGTTTAATTTAATTTATTACAATTTATTTTTAATACTTAATTTAAGAGACTTTGTAATATTTTGTTTTAATTATTTTGAATTTATTGAATTGTTCTTTTTTCTTGATATTTAAATTATTTTTTAATAAATATGTACATCTATCATAGTTTTTTTATTATTAAGTTTGATCTTTTTTTGGAATAAAATATATTAAAAACAAGTCATGAATTTTTCCAAAAGAACATATTGTGGAACAAAAAAAAGTAATTCTTATAACAATGAACAAAATTTTTATATAATAAATTATGTGAAATAATATCTAAAGTTGTTTTTACTCGAATGTGTTTACTTAATTCATCTATATAACCTATAGATGGAGGGTCGTTTGTTGATCCGCCTTAGAATGATGATCTTTTGAAAGTTAGTGTTAGTGTATCTTTTTCGCTAGTCGGTTTCTAATTCCAAATTTTAAATTACAGATACTTGTATGAGAGTGGGTCAAGTAGGTTTTACAGGACCTGTACCGCATGCTAAACAAACATTCTGCACATTCTCATCACGATCACTGCGAATTAAGACTTTAGAACCATCCAGAATGTAATTGGGAGAAAACTAGCCTTGTTTATTTATAGATAGTCGTCCGTCATACTATTATTGGTTTAAAACAATCGTGAATACTGCACCACAATCGAAGCCGACTAGCGACTCGGGGACCTTGTTCTTACTTTTAATTTAGCGCCTATAACTGCGACTGCGACTGGGACTGGACATTTATCTCTTTATTAAGGTTGTTGCGTTCATCCTCATTGTAAAATTTTTATAATGTGCAATTTAATGCACCGAACGTGCTGAACGCCAGCCAAAAAAGAGAACCGGATACGCAGGGCGGCCGGCTAAATTTTAAAAAGTGATGCCAAGTTTCATGTTGTTTATTGTACAACATGAGAGACGTGTGACAAAAATACAACACTGGGGATAATAGTGGGTAGGTAGAACACCTGATAAAGGTAAATAATAAATGTCAGGGAAATTGTGGGAAAATCTTGGAAAAGAGGGAAAGTTTGGTTGAGCGTCCTTGGTGGCCGTATATAAAGCACGGAGAGGGCGAAAAGCGCCATTATTTCAAAGTGGTGTGGAACAGAAACAGTTCAGTCAATTTTTAAATGTTTTTTTTGTGAATAGAAAAAGGAAATACTAAATTGGCAGTTACAATTTGTGTGTTTTATTGTTTTATTTGTGTGGCGTATCTAAACAATTTGTAAGTGTTGATTTGTAAGTGATGTTATGTCGGATGTGTTGTGTTAAGTTTTTGTGTTCTATTTAGGAATAACGCCGCGCATAAATCCACAATTGGACAGCGCCATCCGACTTGGACGAAAAAGAAGCGGGCATCCCCAACAATTATTTTTGTATCGCCAGGTGCGGCACAGGGGTTCCAGGCAACGAAAAGGTTCTGGAAACGGCCAAAAGACCTGGGAAACTGCCAGTGGATAACCCTTGGAACAGGCAATAGTACCAATCCGGGAAGCTAACCAGTAGATCCCACCTAAAAATCTGTAAAAAGAAGATAAAAAGTTGCCTAAGTATGCCGTTGTGAAGGTAATGTAATTTAAAATTTAAGTTACTTACCAAAGAAAAGAAAGAAAGCCAAATCCCGCTGAAAAAAGCCATATGAAGTTCCTTTTCCTTTGACGGAAACACCACTGAAATAAAAAAAAATATGAAATTCATCAATTAATCCGAATTTGACCAAAAGAAAAAAAGAAGCTATAAAAAAATATATGTTTGTTAGTGTGTAGTTTAGTATATAAGTTAAACGTATTGTTTGTAGTTAGATAAATAGTGCTTAAGATACAAATGTGAGGAAAATTAATGCCCATTAAATCTTATTGTTAGTGAGTGTAGGGTTGCCTCAAAATTTTACAGCTAGAAAATTTCGATTTTTCTGTTTGGGACAAGGATTTGAAATGCCCAAAAGATTTGTCTAAGTGAGCTCCTTTAGGCAGAAATTAAAAGTACTTGTATTGGCCAAAATTGGCGCTTCTAGCAGGGTAATAAAAAAAGGTAATCTGAGTATTGACTCACAATTTTTTTTTTCGTTCGGGTATTAATAATCCAGTTTTTTTTTTATGTGTTCGTGTTGAAATTAGTTTTAAGAGAACGATAATGATTCTAATAAATAAGCTTAATGTCTAATTGTCTGAAGAAATAATATGTTGTGCTAAATTTTATTTGTGAGAGAGGAGGTTAGGCGTTGTAAGTGAGTGTGTGTGGCTTTTTGGGGCCCTTTTTAATTTTTTTGAGTGTATTTGGACTAAAGGGTCAAGGATGGGTGGGCATAGTGGGGGAGCAATAATATCAAGCTCCTGTGTCATAGGTGTATGTTGTGTGTGTTTGTTTTCAGATTTTCTGTGTTTGTGTTTATTCCAGTACAATTCTTTAAGTGTTCATTCCCTAGGGTTGATGGTGGCAGGGTTGAGAACCCCCTGGATTAACCGCTCCCTCCTGAGCTAGTGCGGAACCCCACCATAACGCCGAGTAGGCCGAATGTAACAAGGTATCATTGTTCTATCAGCTGCTGGGTTACATTTTCATAAGTCTTCCTTTTGTCTAATATGTAACGAGACGGATCTTATTTGAGTGCCCTTTTTGGTCTATGAAACCTGGGTGACTTTCTTTGTCATTCTGTTGCAGTTCCACTACAGTTTCCACATTGCTTTACCTAGACTCTTGTGACTGGGAATGGTGTTGTTTGTGTATATTGAGCATTTATAGGAAATATCCGCTCGGATAGGAGAAAACCGGTCCCTTGCATAGGATTTTAGGAGTCGTCCAGTCGAAACTTCCAACAACCCCATATCCCAATTCAAATTGTATTTTTTATTAAAATGGCGCGCAAAGTATCATTTTTCAGTGATGAACATATTTGCCGTGTTATCATTTATCAGTGATTGAACGACGCCGTGAAAATGCGGGCTCTGTTGTCAACAAACTGTTAGCAACCGTACCGTGTGAGTTTGGCCGTTACTAAGTTAATGTTTGGTTGATAATTTTACAATCTATTCGTATATTTAAAAATAATGTGTTATGAAAGTGAAGAACATCTCTAAAATATGGCTAAAAAGGGTGGTGTTCAACAATTGCAAACGGACATTTCTAATGACGAGGATTTTGAAAAGTTTTTAGAAAAACCAGGGCTTTTGGGTTAGTATAAAGATGTGCAAATGTTTTCACGAATCTTTTAAGGGGTTTCTATCTCAACGCATATTATTTTTTATGATTTTAGTTCTGGATGTATGCTCGGAATGGTGTGGCCCCTGTGTGGGTATGGTGGGAAGTTTGAAAAAGGTTAAATTGGAAGTTGGTGGTGATAATCTACAACTAGGCATTGTAAGTTGGATTTTTGTTGTCGGAAGTTTTGGAGAATAAACTATTACCTTTATTGATTACAGTGCAAATCGGACCATATCACGGCCTTGGCAAGATTTCGTAGAAAAAGTGAGCCCACGTGGTTATTTGTAACGGTAAAAATTCGTGTGAAATCGATATTAATTTTTTGGATTGTAATATTAAAACAAATTCCTTCTTCCTAGGGTGGCAAAGCAGTCAATCTGATGTTCGGAACAAATGTTCCCAAATTAATGGCATTGATTGTCAATGAACTCAATCTGGTGGGCAATAAAAATCGTAAATTCTACGAAATAACCGAATTGCAACCTGAAGAAATCGCCCGCCGACAAGTTGTGGAACAAGCCGAAGAGGCAGCACGCAAAGTTGAAGCGGCCGTTGCCGAGAAAAAACGTTTGGATTATTTGCAATTTGTCACGGATACCATTAGGGAAAATCTCAATGACATGGGTGTAACATTGTTCGGTCCCCAAGTAAATCGTGATATGTTTAAGAAAATTATGGAACCGGCAGATCTATTGAAAATCCAATGTAAAGATCGTAAGGTGACCCAGATCAATGGAGAAGATTTTAAAATTATCCATCATAATAGCACCAATCCCATTGACGAGGATGTTCTCAAGCAGCTGGAGGGTAAAGAATTGTTGTTGTGCTTTTGGAAAGTGCCAGGAGAGGGTGATGATGTGCCGGCCATTTTAATGGAATATGCCAGGGAGTTGACAAAAACAGAGACGCTGCCACCAGATGAATTCAATGAAGAGGAACAGATTAAGCCACCGATTGTGCCATCAGTCGAGGTAACGGTGGAATATGAAGTTACGGGTAGGTATGGGAAAAGGAATTCACGTCGACTGTTGTATCGACAATTATAATAGCAATCATTTGTCGCTAAAAAACGACAACCCTAATATCATTATTGTCGCCTCGAATTCATTTTGCGACGCCGACGACAACCATAATAGGGCCGATTAATATCTTAACTTTTCTCTTTGTTCCCAAAGATGACGAGGCTGATGATGAGGATCCAGAAAATCCAACTATGGAAATCACTCCTGACGCTCCAGAGCCAGCCGACCTTTCCCCAAATAACGGGGGAGAAGAAAAAGAAAATGGAACACCAGAAAACGCTGAAGAAAATGAAAATACTCAAGAGGAAGAAACTTTCGAAAACCTTGGCGAAGAGGAACTGAATTTAGCGGCAGTCGATGAGCCAGGATTAGAAATGGCTAGCGAAGACTTAAATTTGAATTTGGAAGATCTGGAAAGAGAAATCGAACCGGAAGAACCACAAAAGCCTTCCGATGAAGCAAAAGAATCTCGAAAAACTAAAAAACGTATCTGCAGCAAGACAGTGCAATTGCCAGCTATTTGGGTACCCCAAGATCAACGTACCCATGCTGCATTGATTTATGTTTATTTTCGCAATCAAACTGCTAACTTTTTACCCCCGGATCCCGAACCAGAACCACCATACATTATAATGTCATTTGATACATACAAAAAGAGAGATTTGATACCATTGGCTGACGGTCGTAAGGAGTTTATACCAATGTACGGCTTCTTTTCTAGTGATGATCCCGATACAGCGGAATATATAACCAATTCAGTGCACAAATATAAGGTCCAAACGAGGTCAGTTTTTCTTTTCCAAAAACTAATTTTAAAAGAAATGCATTTTATTTAATATAAATTAAATTTTTGAAATCTTGCAGTAACGACAAATTAGTCATGAAAGTGAACAAAAGTTCGGAAGACACCGTATTGGCCTTGGTGGCCTATTGCCCCAGCTATGTCAGTCCCAACAGTGTTGTGGGCCTGGAGGAAGCCAATAAATTCTTCCCCGCCACCTACAAGACTCTGGAACAAGAAGAAGCCGAGGCAGCAGCCATAGCCGCGGAGTTGGCCAAAAAGATACGCAAGAAAAAGGAACGCCGCAAGAAGGAAGCCCAAGAGGTACCGGCTGAAAAAGAAACTGAAGTCGATGGTACACATGCCTCAAGTGGCGAGGAAGAAAGTGCCGAGAGTACGTCGGCCGAGGGAGAAGGTGAGGCCGAAGCTGCTAATCAGGAAGGTGAAGGGGAATAAGATGAATGTTTTTGACAAATAGAAATTTAAATTATAATGCACATTATAGAAACATTTGAATCACGTTTAAACATGTAGAAAAGCGAAATGAAAAGTTAATTAAACAAGGTAATGCCATGTTTACGTTAGAACTTTTTGTAGGGTTAACCTACTTTGAGAGGATTTATTTGAAGTAAAAGTAATGGAAATGACAATTTAAATCCAAATCCAGTGGGTTAACCCTGATATATATAAACGTACTGTAAATTACAGAAAATTCGGATCTGGATATTATTTTTTGAATAGTCGAAAAATATGATATGTCACCATATCATGACTATGGTAGAAGAATACAGGTAGATGCATCAACGCTTGGGAACATTGATACGCAAAAATTTTTAAATGTTTTTTCAAAAGGTAGATTTTAATATGTTTTTTTATACCACGCCAATCGGATGTTGTTATGATATTCACTTTTTTTAACAATTTTTACAAATTTGCATAAATTTTCATTCAAAAATTCCAATTCCAACATTGGTATGACAATTTATTGTACCAGCAGCTGTTTCGATGTGACTACCTGTATTCTTCTACCACGATCATGATATAGCATTAAGTTCTAATTTAACAGACATGACGTTTTTATATGGATTTCGCTGATTTTTTATCGATTACGATTTACGCGGAAATGCTCTGGAAAGGGTTTCTGAGTTCTTATATCGGTGCCTTACCGCCATTTTGTCGGTTTCGGAATAACATATTTCTGTAAATTTTCTAATGCATTTTTGGCATGTCGTCGGCCATTTATTGCCTGATGGAGATATTTCTGGGTCATATGCATTTTGTCCAATCTTCACAGTTCTTTGTCTTCGCATTTAGTCGCCATATTTTTGGCATGTTCATTTTAGTTTAAAAAATAAAAAAAATAATAATTTGTAAATAATTTCGTGAAATAAATCTGTAATTATTTCAGAAAAACGAGTCTTTTACGAAGACGTCAGGCGATGACTTAAGCCAATCAGAGCAGTGTTTTATGCATACTCACTTAAAGTCCTTTATTTAAAAGTCGACTTAGGTGTCCCTAATCCAGTGATGTATCTGCGTTGTTGTAACGTATACGTCTCAGTGTTTAAATTATTATTTGAAACAAATAATTAGCAAGCAGATGCTTGGTTTGGATGCTGCAAGAATGTAAAAAAATTACTACTATAAAGCTGCTATCAGACGATAAGGGTTTTACATATATGCTGTCACTTTTATTGTCCATGTGTATGTCGAAATTGCCAATTTACGTATGACACATAATTCTTATATTGCTTATAGTGTTTTTACTATAAAATTATAATACTTTATGGTTGAATTTTAACGCAAATTTAATTTCATATTTTTTCATACGAAAACAAACAAAATTTTTGATTAAATTTTATTTTTCCGATGAAAATAGGGCTCACTGTTATCGAAAAAATACATATGTACCATGGTAGAAGAATACAGTTAATCGCATCAACACAGCTGCTGGGACAATAAACTATCAAAACAATTTTGAAATTCAAAAAATTTGAATGAAAATTTATTCAAAATCGTTAAAATTGTTGAAAAATGCATATCATAACAACCTCTGGCGTCGTATAAGAAAACATATAAAAATTTGCTTATTTAAAAAGAAAATTTTTTTTAAAAAAGCGTTGATGCATCTACCTGGGCCTCAATTCTTATTCTAGGAAAATGTGAAATGAAAACTTTTATAAAGGAAAGAAATGTTAAATGGAAAATTTTATAAAGGAAATATTTTTAATTTCATATTTTCATAGAACAAGAATCCAGCCCCTGTATTCTTCTACCATGATATTTACTTTACTCATGCATTTCAAAACTGAAATGTCGTCCGATGTGTACGACTTCTCTGTATGACACTACATATGTAATACCCTTTTCGTCTGATAGCAACTTTACAGAATCTTCCTCTATGACATAAAAAAAATAAATAAATAAATAAATAAACAAATAAATAAATAAAAATATAAATAAATAAAATATGCAAAACTAGTAGATTTTTTCAGGTTCTTTAGCAGAGCAAAGATATAGCTAGGAAAGGTTGGCCAAGGCTTTTGACAACTATTTTACAACAAACTTAGTAGCTTTTGCAAAATTTTGATTTGACTCTCTTTGAATTTCAAGTCACAGTAAGTCTTTTGACAGCAAACTTAGTTGTCAGATGGGCTTACTGGCCGACCTTTTATAGGTCATGGGCCTGGCTTATTCTTTGCATATTTTTTTGAAATAAAAATTTAGGATGTACAAATCAAAAAATGAATAACGAAAGTAAACTACGATTTTTACTTCAGACAAATGTCGACTTAGGTATCCCTACCCCATTGTGCTGTCGTGAGATATACGTCTTAATGTTATTTAAATTATTATTTTAATTTTTAAGGATAACAAACAATTCTGATTAAGAATCCATACGTCCCAGCTTACCCCATTAGAATCCTTGGAAGATTTTGATTTGACTCTCTTTGAATTTCAAATCACAATAAGTCTTTTGACAGCAAACTTAGTTGTCAGATGGGCTTACTGGCCGACCTTATATAGGCCATGGGCTTAGCTTATTCTTTGCATACTTTATGGAATACGAATCTATGATGTAAAAAATTTAAATTGAATAACGAAAGTAGACTACGATTTTTACTTCAGACAAAAGTCGACTTAGGTATCCCTACCCCATTGTGCTGTCGTGAGATATACGTCTTAATGTTATTTAAATTATTATTTTTATTTTTAAGGATAACAACAATTTTGATTAATAATTCATACGTCACAGCTTATCCGATTAGAATCCTTGGACAATTTCGATGATTTTTCAAGGCCTTGGAATTTTTCAATGCCAAACCACGTTTTTTCGGGGCGGAAAGTTCTTCTTCTTTCAACGATATGGCTCTAAGTCCACTCAACCCAAATAAACGACTTTCCCTTATTTTGCATCCTTTTTCTTTTTTGCCGAATCTGGATCATTTTGAGCAGCTTCTTCCTCCATTTCCTGCTCAGCCGTCCTATACGATTCTGGGAAAAATTTTTTGGCTTCATCAAAACCAACATTTACATTGGGACTAACATAGCTTGGATCATACGTGATCAGGGTGAGCATGGTGTGGGAGTTGGCTTTGTTGACCTTCAAGACCAATTTATCATTTCTGGAATAAAAAGAGTGGATCACTTATTTCGAGGCGATTTCACAACATTTCCACTTACATTGTCTGTGGACTATATTTTTCAATGGAATTTGAAATGAATTCCGCCTCCTCAGCATCGTCGCTGGTAAAGAAGCCATAGCAGGGTATATCCTCCTTGTGGTGGTCGGCATGTGAAATGAGGTCGCGTTTCTTATATGTATCAAAAGCCATTATAATGTGTGGCGGTTCGGGCACCGGGTCCGGTGGCAAGAAACTTGTGGTTTGATTGCGAAAGAAGACATAGACAAGTGCGGCATGCGTCCGGTGATTGTTCGCAATCCATATGGGTGGTATGCGTACTTTTTTAATACGGATTTTTCTTTTGGTTACCGCTTCGATGGGCCCATCTTCCTCTTCTTCTACTTCTTCTACAATGGCATCGTCGAGACCTAAATCAAAACCCAAGTCTGGCATTTCAGTGGGTGGTAGAGGTTCAATGTTGGCCTCATCTCCTTCCTCTTCCAGCTCCTCATCAATTGCCAAATCTGGTTTGCCTGTGTCATCTTTTGCTGCTAGATTCTCTTCGGAAGATGGCTCTTCCGGTTCTTCTATCCATATTTCACCCTCTATGAAATTGATGTGTATGAAAAAAAAAAACACATGGCGTATAACTACTGTCATTCTGTATACGCTCCAACTTACCCTTGAGTTCAACCTCAACTTTCAAATCCAAAGGCCCCAAAATGGGTGGCACCACAATTTCTTCCTCATTAAACTCATCCGGTGGATATGTATGGGATTTTGTCAATTCCTTGGCATAATTAGTCAATATCTTTGGTATGTCCTTACCCTCGCCTGGCACACGCCAAAAACACAGCAACAACTCTTTACCATCCAATTGCTCTAACACATCCTCCTCTATGGGATTGGGACATTTAAAATGAATAGTTTCAAATTGTTCTCGCGTCACTTCAATAAATTTACGATCTTTACATTGAATCTTTAGAGCATCGGCTGGTTCCATGATTTTTTTAATGATATCCCGATTTACTTGTGGTCCAAAGACGGTTACACCGATGTCGGGAAGATTTTCCATTATAACATCGGTTACATGCTCAAGATATTCGAGGCGTTTCTTTTCTTTGGCCTCATATTCTATGCGCTGGGCTTCAGCTATGACATCCTCTTTGGCACGTCTGCGAATTTCTTCTTCCGGCTGGTAGTCAGTTATATCGTAGATGGGACGTTTTACATTGCCCAGATTCGAAAGTTCTTCCAAAATGAGATTCATTAATTTTGGTGTATCGCTGCCGAACATAATATTGACCGCTTTGCCATTCTGAAAAAGTAGGGAAAATTCTGTAGGTACCATTGGGCGTATGACTATTTTCGTAACTCATACGCCCAAGTGTACAAAAAACGTAATTTGAAAAAAAAAGGAAAAACAAGAAAAAACCTGAAATAACTTTTAGAATTATTGGTTTGCGGACTACTTTTTCGGGGACCTTAAAATTTTATGGTGAAAAGATATCAATTTTTTTCTCAAAGCGGGAGACATAGCTTTATGTTGTAATTTAACAGACATGACGTCTTTATAGGGATTTCGTTGATTTTTATCGATGGAAATGCGCTGGAATTGGTTTTTGAGTTCAAATCCATCATTTCTGTTGTTTTATCTGTAATTATTTCCGCAAAAAGAGACTTGAGCCGTTGACTCAAGTCAGTCGAAACAGCTTTTAATGTATTCTCACCTTAAAGTCCATTACTTAAAAGTCGACTTAGGTGTCCCTAACACAGTGATGTCGTGAGTTATCAGCGTTGTCGTAACGTATACGTCTCAGTGTTTAAGTTATTATTTGCATTAAAAGATTAGCAAACTATTTCTCTGTTCTAGGACTGCAAGAATGTAAAAAATGTACTACTATAACAGATTTTTCCTTTACGACATCGAAAAATTGCAAAATGACTAGATTTTTGCAGGTTCTGGAACGGAGCAAATTTTGATTTATCATTCATATTTGGAAACGGCTTAACTTATTCTTTGCATATTTTTCTCGAATAAAGTAGTAGACTACGATCAGACAAAAGTTAACTTCGATTTTTTAATATCTAAAGTCGACTTAGGTATCCCTATCTCTCAGATGGGGCGTTTTACATTTGAGATGGCGTTTTTCTTACGCACTCGTCATGCAAACACACACTAATATCATCTCCAGGAATGCAAGTAAAGGGGAGGGAAATTTAAAAATGTGAAATAATGATCCCAAATCTATCGGCGTCATTGTCGCCAAAAAATTTAAATAAATATTTACCGCCACAAACAGCCATGTCGGTTCGCTTTTTCGACGGAAGCGCTTCAGGGCCTCAATGGTATCACTTTTACACTAAAATTGAAAAAGAAGATTATCTTCAAAAACGAAAAAAAAATTGCTACAACTCATCCTACAATTGCCAACGAAAGATTATCGCCACCAGCCTCCAATTTGATTTTCTTTAAACTACCCACCATACCCAGGCATGGGCCGCACCATTCGGAATAGACATCCAAAACTGTTGGAAAATTTGACTCATAAATTGTGTGCCACAAAACCTTTCCGAAGCCAAAATTTACCCAATAATCCTGGACGATCCAAAAATCTTTCCAGTTCCTCATCGGTATTGATTTCTTCCTGAATTTTTTGGGCAGCAGCTTTTTTGGCCATAATTTATAGATTTTTTGCTTTTTTATTTCTTTTTTTTTGTAGAACTTTTTAATTTGGAATAAAAGTACAAAAAATTATAAAGAATATGGAAGAAAGGTTAATTTTTTTATTGTTTTCAATTTTGAGTGACAAAAACATTATATCAACTTGGCAGCATTTTTGTTAAAAGAATGCTGTCAAATACAAATGTTTTGCCCATTGCAGAAGAAAACAGGTAGATGCATCAACGCTTGGTAACATTGATATGTCAAAACATTTTAAATGTTCTTTCAAATATAAGTAGATTTGTATATGTTTTCTTATACGATGTCATTCGGAGGTTATTATAATTCGCGTTTTTTAAATCATTTTTCATTCTACATTTTTAATTCCAAAATTGGTTTAACAGTTCATTGTCCCAGCAGCTGAGCATGGCAAAAGTATACAGGTAGATGCATCAACGCTTGGTAACATTGATACATCAAAAAATTTAAATGTTCTTTCAAATATAAGTAGATTTGTATATGTTTTCTTATACGACGTCATTCGAAGGTTCTTATAATTCGTGTTTTTTAAAAAAAAATTTACAAATTTAAATACTTTTTCATTCAACATTTTGAATTCCAAAATTGGATTGACAGTTCATTGTCTCAGCAGCTGTGTCGATGCGTCTACCTATATTCTTCTACCATGCAGCTGCGTTACCGACAAAAATCGGTAAAATTGAAACCAAAAATTTTGATATAGATGATAAATTATGATTCCCAACATTGATATTTATCGGTAGGCCTTAGCGACTAATTGAATTTGGTCGCTAACCTACCTAAAAATGTCATTAATTACCAAAATTATAAGCATTTTACTTTTACTGGCTTTTGTCGGTAACTCAAAAAATTCCACTATTGGAAACGGTTTAATTGTTTTTTTTTTCACGGGGAGTTTGCAAATTCTTGCCGGACAATTTTTCTTTAAATCAATTGCAACTCTCATCCCGCATTTTTAATCGAATTGACATTAAATTTGTAATGGGAAATTATCTGCGTAATTTTTTTTGTTTTAGAACAGAATCCCATAGACATATAATAGGGTCTCTTGGTGAACATCCATGGTTCTCCAAATATATTTTTTAAGTCTTTATGTATTTATAAAGACTTAAAAAATATATTTGGAGAAAATGGCTTGTGGCTATAATATGCATAATATGAACAGCTCATAACAGAGGCATTTTAAAAGCAAACAAGCAAAGGTTCCAAAATTATATTCCATTAAACTTACCAATTAATTGAATATTGACTAGGAGGTTAAAATCCACCTAATGACATTATTTTGACTCTGGTAATTAGGAATGGTAATTAGGGTAAGCTAGTTTGAACTGGGTCACCCTTATTTCCGAAAGGCTTAAATTCAACTAAGTCAAACTAAACTGAATGACAGGTGGTAAAATCCTTATATGTGTTTACCCGTGTTGAATTCTAATGACTTAAATATATACGGGGATTTTTTTCTAACATTATAGTACCTTTAAATTGCACTGAATTCACGAAATGGCTCGATGACGTCTTCGGAAAAGAACAAAGGAGCGTAGGCCAAAATCGATCTAAGTCAACCTAAAACCCCTTTGTTCAAAGACATAGTAGTATAAAAATGGGTCAAATTGGCAACCCTGTGAAAAATGCCTCTTTTGTTATGATATCATAACAACCAAGATCCATTTATGAGGTCGTGTAAAGGGCGAATTACCTTAAAATCAGCTGTTTTACTCCTGCGAACTGTCAAAATTTCTTCTGAAGCTAATAATAATTCGCCTTTGTGCATCCTTTTTTGTGGCGAATTTGTAAACATCTATGAGACAAACAAAGCACAGGAGCATAGAAATAAAATTAAAAAGAAGGCATGACGTTCCAATAAAAATACTTTTGCAATTTGTGCTCCATTTTCTCCTGGCATCTCCGTCCTTTGGAATAGAGAAAAAAACCCAGAACCGAATTCAGTTCTAGGTACTTAGGCAGTTTTAAGTCTTCACATGACATATTTTGTGACATCATAAAAAAACCCTAGATCCGCACTCGAATCCTGCGGTCGTTTTTCCTAATAATTTGACATAATATGCCCAGCCAAGATGAAAAAGATCTTCAAAAGAGAACGACTAAAGAGGGAAATATTGAAGGTTCTTTCATTGAGAGTTTGAAAAGTTTTGCTGGACACTTTTTTTTTTGCAATAAACGCTTCTTCTTCTCCTTCCGATGATTTATATTAGGGTAAGCTAATTTAAAACATCTTTATCATGAAAATCGCAAGCCTAATTGTTTTGTTTTCGGGTCATTTTTAATTTGCGGTATTTCATTTTTTATGGCTGATGAAAATGCTTCGTTTTTTTTTGACAAATCAGCTGATTGCTTGCAAGTTTATGCAGGCATTCGGTCTGTTTACTTTTTACAGTTTTCTTGCAAAAGAGAATAAAACTGTTTTACGGCGAATTCCAAGTATAAACTAATTTATTTTGACAGAATGGGTGAACTCAGCTGGGCTAATCGGACGACCTATTTAATGGGCCTTGATAGCAACATAGTTACAATTCTGAAACCACATTTTTGAATTTTTCAAACTGTTATTTGTCATTCGTTTCTGTAATTGTGGTTTTTACATTAACATGCCTCTGTCGTGAGCTGTTATTCAAGATAGTATAGCCACAAACCATGTGCTAAGAATGCATTTTGCCTTATCTTTACCATTTTAGGGCTTTGCTTTGTTTCTCTACCAAGAAGTCAGCCGATGACTTAAGCCAGTCAAATAAGCGTTTTATGTTTTCTTACATTTACTTACCTCACCTAAATCTCATCTAATAATATGAACATACTATAAGTTGTCTGGCGGGCTTCTTAGCTTACGTGGTTTGGAAATAAACGACCATTTAGAAGGCAAACAAATCAAAGTCCTAGCCGGAAATAAGCATTGAATTTAAATTGCCTTTGTGTCAAATAAATCCTTATACAGTGGATTCACCCAACAAAAAACTATAATGTAAACATACTATAAACCACCATAAACAACCATTGGTCTGCTTTTTTTTTTTTTTTTTTTTGTCAACCCCAGTCCATTTTCCCCAAACCCATAGATAAAAAAGACATTTTTTTTTGTTTTTTTTTTTAATAATTTTATTTTTATTTTTTTCTTGGTTTTTGTTGTTTTATGTTTTTATATTTACCATCATCATATATAATTAATATATAATGTTTGTTTTCTTGTTGTTGTTACTTCTTCTTCTTCTTCTTTTGTTATGACAAAGTATTACATTTCATCAATTGTGGTGTGTGAGTGTGTGTGTTTATGTGTCTGTTTTTTCTTTTTGTAATTTATATACGTAAAATTGTTGTTGTTGTTGTGATGCATTTTTTCTTTGTTTGTTTTTACTCTCTTTAATTTCTGCAAAAATGTTGGGAAGAGATTTTGGGGATTGTGGGTGTGATAGAGAGAGAGAGCAAGAGAGGCATTAGAGTTGAGGAGAAAGTGAGTATTAACTGTCTAATTGATGATGGGAAAGGAAGAGGGAAAATAGGTCAGGTTATTTTTAATGCAGACAAAGAGAGAGAGAAAGTATGATGTTGCTTCAAAAGTGTTGCCCATGCAGCGTTTTTTTCTTTCGTACATTTTTGTTTTGCAAATATTATAGTATTTTTCTGTTTTTTGTTTTTTAAAAAGATAGACTTTTTCTTATGAAAAATAAATGCAACAGAAAGGATATGATAAAATTGAAATGAAATCTTGAAATGCTTTAGTTTTTGTTTTTTAGAAAATTAGTTTTTTTTTGCCAAATTTTATATTCTTTTATTATTTTGAATTTTTATTGTTTGCTTTATTTTTGTTTTAGTTTAGTATTCCTTGTATCAGTCATTTCATTTAGAGAGGGAGGGGGTTATATTTTTATAATATTTGCAACATTTGTTTTTTTTTTCTTGTGTGTTTTGGATTTTATAAATGTTAAAATTATTCTGCCGTTTTTTTTGTTTTGTTTTTATTGTTATTTATTTTTGTTTTTTAAGAAATATTGCATTTTTTACACATATTCATTTCATGTTCAATAATGTACACTTACTAAGCTTAGTTTAAGATTATATATGTAGGAGTGGGGGGTAGTTTGTGTGTTTGGGGGATTTATGGGGAAGTTTGGGGATTTTTGGGATTTTTGTTTTTAATTTTACACAATTTATTTTTGTTTTTGTTTATTTATGCAAATGTGTGTTTTTCAAGGAAATGATAACTAAATCTAAATGTTTTAAATTAATAAGGGATTTTTCATGTAGTTAGTTGTAGTTGTAGGCTTAAAATATGTGTTTTTTATTATTATTATTATTATTTTGCCTTAAAATCTAATGTTTAATTTTATTTAATAAAATTGCTAAACCACCATTGTTTATCTGTTGTTGTTTTATTTCCATTGGCTATTTTAAGTTTTTTTTACGATTTAATCATTTTTTGTGTGTCTATTTTTACGAAATGCTTTTAAAAGCCAATTTACTTTTTTTTTTGTTTGTATGTTATTATTATTATTATTTAAGCTACAACTTAATGACTAAGCAGAGTTTTGTTGATATATTACAGGGGTCCAATCTTAAAATCTATTTTTATTTTGGGGGCATTAGGGGCTAGGAAGGGAGGTTCTTGCTGTTCTTTTTTTTATAAATTTTTATTATTTCGAGTTTTTCTTTTTTTCTCTGTCATTACGTTTAAGTAGTCAACACTAAATATTAGTAAACAATAATTTATAATTAATATTTATATATAAACGCACGAGCATTATCGTTTTTTTGTGTTTTTTTATTTCGTATATTTAATAAGCATTTTGTTTCTTTGTTATACTATTTATAAATTATAAATAAAAAAAATTAAAAAATATTTATATGGCATTTATTAAAAATTAAAATTAAAAAATCATCATCATCATAATAGTATTTTGAGTACATACTTAATGTGGTAAAAATAAATGATTTGAAGTTTTAATAAAAAATATTGCATTTTATTTTTAATGAATAAAAAATCGTAAAAAAAATAAAAAAATATTAAAAGTTTTTTTTTTTAAGAAATATAATAAAAATATATGTTTAGAAAATAATATTTTTTTGTGTATGCATATTTTCGAGTTAATATTTAAGGATTTATGTCATGTTGTTTTTTTTTGTTTGTTTTAATTTATAAAGATTATATATATCACAATTGTAAAAATTTGCTTGATTTTCGTTACAATTTTCGGTTTTTTGTTTTATTTATTATTATTTTTTTTAAATGAAAAATAAATAATAATAATTATAATAATATTCGAGAAGCAAAAAAATTTTGGAAAAAAATCAGAATTGTTCATTAAAGACAAAAATAAGTGTTATACGTTTGTAACCAATTTTGTTGTTGTATGATTGGTGAGTATTTTTTGGTTTAGCTAAATAATTGTATATAATTTTTTTTGTATAGAACAGAGGGACAAGTGAAGGAAAAAACAAACCACAAACAATTACCTAAAAAGGTGTTAAGAAAAAGCAATTGAAAAATCTAAGTAATTACAAAAAAGATGGATTAAAAGTTTTTTTTTCAATGGTCCTGGGAGAGAAAGCCATGTTTCAATATCGTCATACATAGATTTCACCATTTCATGCCTTTGTGTTGAAAAAGGAAGTCAGAAAAACGTTAAAATTGTTATGTCGCCAGGCCACCTAAGAAATTTACATTTGCTGTGTTCCAACGATACATTGAAATTATTTTTGGTGTTGGCCATGTGAACCCACTTTAAGATAGAGTGATTTCCATGGTAGAAGAATACAAGTAGTCGCATGGACATAGCTGCTGGGACAATGAACTGTCAAACCAATTTTGGAATTGAAAATGTTGAATGAAAGATTATTCAAATTTGTAAAAATTGTTAGAAAATTCTTATTATAACAACCTCCGATTGGCGTTGTATGAGAAAACATATAAAAATCTATTTATATTTGAAAAGACATTTAAAATTTTTTGACATATCAATGTTCCCAAGCTTTGATGTATCTACCACGAAAAAAAAAACGTTCCAGCTTAGAAACTACGGAATAAATTATTTTTCGAATTAGTTATGACATGGAAAACCCCAATTTAAGATAGAGTAATTTCATAAAGAGACCGGCCAGAGATGGAAAGTTTTCAAAGAGAAAGTTTGATAGTCAAAACCATTGTCATATTTCTTTCTGTGTTTATAAAACTCTCTTGGTAATATAAACACAACAAACAAAAAACGTTCCAGGTTTATATGTAATTACGTTATGAAAGCAAAGGAAGGAATATGACCTCAATGAAAGCGTTTGTCGTCAATAAATATTATATATCAGACAATCAAGGTGAACACCAACTGGAGTATAAATTACAAATTTCGGAATAAATTAATTTTCGAATGTGTTATGACATGGAACGCCACAATTTAAGATAGAGTAAGAGACAGGCCAGAGATGGAAAGTTTTCAAAGAAAAAGTTTGATAAAGAGAATTAGTAGCCAAAAACCATTGCCATGTTTGTTCTTTTTGGTGTCTATAAGCAGCACTGCTCAAAGCCTATGTTATTTACGAGAAAAAAATGTATTTTTCTTTATATTAATTTCAATTGTTTTTTAAAATTATTAATTAAGCGAATTTTTATAAAAAATGTATAAATTATATTTTAAAACTGCTTTTTTGATTATTAAAAAACAAAGAGAAATTGGACTGATGAGCGAGGTCTTGTTTTTGAGTAGCGCTGGTTTATAAGGCTCCCTTGGCAATATGAACACCACAAAAAAAAACGTTCCAGGTTAGTAATTAGTAATGAATGCAAATGAAGCAATATAAACACAATGGAAGCGTTTGTCGTCAATAATTCAGACAATAAGGATGAACACCGTTATACGATAAACCCACTGTTTTTAAAAGGAGTGTTCAGAATTCCTTCGACCACTTTTGTTCCACTTTGCCTTCAAGTGTCACATTAAAAGAGCAGTTTGTTGTATAAAAATAAAAATTTTTATATTTCTTGTTTGTTTTTTGTAGTGTGATGTAGAGATATTTAAAGCTTGTATTTTCTTAATATTTTTCCTTTATAATTTCTTGTATATAAAGACAATGTTTAAAAAAAATGGATGAAAAATCTAAAAAAGAAATATTTTTGTTTAAGATAATTTATAAATCATAGGGGGGTGATAAACAAAAAAATATATTGCAAAATATTTTTAAATAAAATACGAAAAAATTATAAGTAATAATTGTAAGTTTTTTTCTTTATGGCTTGCTGTGGCTCTTGCATTTACTATTCTTATTGGTATTATTTATAACATTACAATTATTGAAGGGGAGGAGATTCATTTTGTTTTTTTTCCTTGATGTTTAGCTAATATCTTTCTTTTGCCTTTTTATTATTTTGATAATCTCACATTGATTTATTTACTTTTTTTTGAATTTTTTTTAAGTTTTCATTAATACATAAAAACATTGATTTATTGAGATTCTAGGTTATCTAAAGTGTTTTTATCGCTTTCTCATTACTTTCAAAATGGGATTTTCTTTTTTTGTTTGTTTTATTATACAAAACTATATATTTTTTTCATTTACCGATTTATATGTATATTTATTTATATAGATGTGTGTTGAGTGAGTATATCTAGTTACTTAGATACGTTTAAAGATTTGTTTTTGTTTTCACAATTCTGTCCCCTAAAACACACAAATTTTAAAAGGAAATTCTAAAATTTATGTTGCATGACTTTTTCACAGGGTGGCAATCCTGCAATGCATTTGATGTGTAGGGCTCTATAGATCGTTTTGTTTTCATTGGGATGCCTAAGCAATATTTTGCTTTAATTTTTTTTGTGTGTGGAAATTCTATACAATTGTTGTTGTTATTATTATTAACGGCTATTTTACTTTCCGCATTGCAATTGATCTTTTGTTTTTAATATATTTTTTTTTACTTTAGCTTGTCTTAAGTAGGTTTTTTTCGTCTTACATGGTTGTTTTTTGTTGTTTTTTTTTGAGGGGAGTTTTTTTTTTAATTTTTTTCTTCATATGTTTTGTTTGTTTTTTTTTATTATTTATTTAATAATACAAGTCATCTTCGGTTGAGTTGCTTACCAAGTCTTTTTTAGCGTTTTTATCGTGAATATACTCGTCTTCGTTCATCTCATATTCGTATTGTTCTTCTTCTTCTCGTTCGCCATCTAGATTCACGTTTTCTTTCAAATCGTAATATAGGTGTGCTTGTTGTTGTTGTTGTTTTTGTTTTAATAGTAAATCGTTGTTGTTGTCGTCAAATTCAATGCCAGCTGTTTTTCACGCCGACATATCCTTTAACTTCTGTTGTTGTCGGCGACTTTTTCCCGTTCGATGACTATTGCCAATCTTCCGCCTCTTGCGTTTGGCATCTCGTTGAAAGGCCACATTGCCAGGATCATCAGCCAACTGGGGATATTTGTAAATGCTATGGATATCGACACCAATCCAACCATCCACATCGCCATGTGAGACCAGTTCTTCCTTCTCCTCTTCGGTCCAATCGCCACGTCCCTGGAAACCGGCAGCCACCAATTGTTTCTCCAATTCCCAGGCCCGTTCGACAGCACGCTTATGGGCATGCTTCAGAATTCTGTGTCGCTCCTGTTCGGGATCAACACCATATTTAATAATGACCACAGCATCGGGACCATGTAACCGTAATTCCTTGGCCGCCGAACCACCATGATCGGTAATCTCGTGTGTGGAAATGTTGAACATGCCACCCAGGCGCCGGAGTTCTTCATTGTCATCACGTAACTTCAGGACATTGTCCTTGACAAAGTAGAACACATCCTGGTCATGGATGCTAAAGTGCAAATCCAGGAAGTGGGAATTGTTGAAGACCGACGAGACCACATCTTGCACCACACTGTTTGAGCCATCCACCACACTGACCAGGGCACGGCCACCAATTCGCGATAGCAGCACTCCCTCGCCAAAGACGGCCCGTCGATAGCTAACCCTGGGTAAGAGGTTACGCATTTTGGGTTCCATTTTCAATAATGGCTTGGGTACAAAATCGAAATCGCTGAATTTCTCATTCGTTTTCTCCACAATGCATTCCAAGCCACTGATTACCCCAAAATCGGGCGCCAAGGTTGGTGACTTGATGGAGGCCTGAGGATTGTATTGGGCTGCCTTGGTATATTTAGTACTTTGCATGTTGTCCAGATCATAGCCGAACAACTGCAGCCATGATTCCAAATCGATCATGTAATTTTGAGATTTGCTAGGATTGATGGGATCGTTGTTGTGGTAACGATAGATGAAGACATCGGTTGGATGAGACATTTCCGTAGCTAAGGTCTCCCACAATGGGGTCATCCATTGACCCAAAATAGGATCATACAGGCGATTTTCGGTGTACACCAGTTTGGTGTGCGGATCCAAAAGGCCACCATGGAAATCAATGGGTATAAAGAATTCCGGATTTGTATCCTTGATGATGCGTCCAAACGGTGTTCGTTTCATTTCCTTGACAATCGAACCATTCATATCGAAATAGGCCAGCGGTGAACCATTTTGATCGGTGGCCACATAGTAACGTTGATCTCCCGTCTCCACAGCCATAAGCATATCACGATCGTCGTAGAAGAATCGTGTGGTCTTTTGCAGCTTGGGGAAATGCATGTGCGTCAATAACATCGGACTCTTGGGATTGGCATAGTAATATTGGGTAACATTACCCTTGCTGTCGTGCCAGGCCACCAAACGGCTGCGATCATCATAGTAATACCAGGTTTGGAAACGTTCCCGCTCGAAGGCATGTATCAATTGGCCACGATTGTTGTAACGATACTTTTGCTCTCCATGGCGGACCACAAAACCGCGAGCATCATAATTGTTGAATTCCACATCGCCCACTTGGATGACACGATCTCCAATGTCATAGCCCAAATTGATTTTCTCACCCTGGTCGACAACACCCACAGCATTGCCATTCTCATCGTAGAGATATTTCCAGTTGTTGGTACCCAAAACTTCAATGACATGACCATCTGCATTGTAATTGATCTTATCAAACGCCGTCGATCTGCCAAAGGTGGTCTTTTGCGATTTGATGCGGTTACGCAAATCATAGTCCAACTCCAAACGGAAGACATCAATTTCTCGGATATTCATTAGGACACTCTTGATCCGGCCATGTTGATCGTAATCGATGATGCTGAAGAATTTCTTGGATGGATCCTGGATGACGGTGCGATTAAAGGCATTGCGGGTAATCTTGAGATCCTGCACCACTTCCAATTGGCCCAAGTTTTGACTGTACTTGTAGCGTGTGGTGGGCAATTCCTTGTCATCAATGGATATCTCCACGCCGGTGAGACGGGCATTACCATCGTAGGCGTATTTGTAATGAGCCGAGGCCAATGAGTTCTTGGAACCAAAACGTAGTTTCTCATCCTTCAAGATACCAGCATGGTATTTAAACTCTCGCCTCAGTTCAAAGCCCGGCTCCTGGACCTCTACAGATTTGACCAAACTTGTTGCCTCTTGGTAAGTGTAGTGGGTGCTGGAGAGGCCAGCCAAAATGGTTTCCAAACGTCCCGAGTTGTCATGCACAAAGGCCACCTTGCCCGAATGATGGGGATGTATTTTGGCCAAGATCTGACCTTCATCATTGTACAGGATCTCGAAGGGATAACGATTGATGGGTGAGAAGTATTGGTATTTGAAGAAACCCAATGATGTTTGCAGTGAGAATGAATGGATGTGACCTCGGGGAGTGGTCAAACTTTGCAGGGCTCCAGCATCGTCGTATTGCAGTAGATAATCCGATTTCCTGGGTGTGGTCACCTTCAAAGGCAATGAACCATACATGTCCTTGAAGTTATAGAACATTGAGGAACCATCACCATATTTGATTTCATTCAGACGACCATTGCGATCAAAGGTATAGGCCTCTTGAAGATTTCCCCATTTCCAGGTGACCAAACGGCCAAAACGATCATATTCCAAATCGACATCAGCATAATCTCCTGACTGGGGACGGAAGCTAACGGGCCGGGAGGTGCGATCATAGGTAACATTCAACAGGTCGTGTTTATCATCAACTGAAACCAAAATCGATTGGGTATCACGATCGTATTCCAGAGTCAAGACATTATCACCATTGACGCGTAACTTGCGTCCAACCTGGGTAACTGTCCGGGGACCCTTGTTTTGTTTGCCTTGCTGCAATCGCCGCACAAAGTAACGCCATTCAAAACGATTTGCCAAATCTCCGGCGATTTCGGTACGCTGCTTGGCCGGCACTGGATAACTTTCACCAATAATTGGACTGATCTCGGCCAAAATTGGATAGGGAACCACTTCCATTTGCAGCAAATGACCCCAGGGCGTAAGGCTGGTTGTCGAACCATCCATTTCAACCATGGTCTTGGATTCGGCTTCACCATTGCGCACAACCACCGAGGAACCTTGGATCAACATGGAAATCTCTTTTTGGGCATTCTCCGAGACTTTGACTTGAGCTCCCTTGACACTTAAATCAAAGGCCAAATCTATGACTCTACCGGTGGGTGTTACAGCTGAGGTCAGGCGACCAAATTCATCATAGTTATAGACATAGGAACGTCCGGTTGAATCCAGCTTGGTTTTCAACAATCCCGTCGGCCCATGATATTCGAAAGTGACATTGTAATTGTCCGGGGTGTTCAGTTCATGTAACATTTTCATTCTGGTCATTCGCAGACGACATTTCTGACCCTTGGTATTTTCAATGGAATTCACCTGGGCGGTGTAGTCACGCAGCAAGAAGACCTTATTTCCGGCAGCATCTGTAACGGTGCTCAATTTACCATTAGAGGTGTTCACATTGTAGGTAAAAACATAGGTGGTTTCGCCGGTCAGAATATTCTTGGTCAGGACATGTTGGCCAAAACGATTGAAGATGTAGATCTCCTGCATATCGGGAGCATAGATTTCGTATTCCCGCGATGAACTTGCCTCAGGAATGCTAGACATGACAGCTCGTATGCGATAATTGGCCTGATCGGCAATGTGGACATGACCATCTGGTGTCACAGCCAAAGCAGCAATGGTATTAAATTTGGCGCTGGTGGCCAAATAGTGGTCAGCTTCGAAACAATCACAGCCACGTTCCAGGCAATTACATTTTGATTCAACGCCAGCAAATGCTGTGATACGTCCATTGGTCCCAATGACACGTACCCGATTGATACGCTGCGAATCACTTTCAGCCACATAGAGTTCTCCCAGGGGGCCAAAAGCAATGGACTGGGGCATTACCAAGGTGGCATGTGTGGCCAAATCGGAATCGTAGAGGAACGAAGAGGTGGCACAATGCAAGGGACGTCCGGAAATCACTCTCACCCGACCATCGGGAGTCATGCGCAAGATCATGTGATCATCAATAATATGTAGGGTATTATCCAAGGGACTAACCGCCAATTCGGTGGGCCAGCGCAAATGCATTTCTTCCAATTTCAAAGTACCCTCACAGGGTATGGGCTTCCAGTGGGACTTGTGCATGTGATTGCCGATCAGAGTGCTCACAATGCCATCACGATCGACCATGCGTATATTGGTGCCATCAGCAAAGTACAGGACATTATCACTGGATATGGCAATACCTTTGGGATAGGCCAACTTGGCATCCTTGGCCAAGGCCCCGTCTCCACAATGGGCCTCATCACCGGGCAAGCAACGTTCTCCCGAGCCAACAATTGGCTCCCAATTCTTTTCGGGTTGCGAATAATCATTTGTGTCTCTGACGCGTATAATTTGATGTGACTCCGGATCGGATATGTAGAGAGTGCCATCCAGGGGACTCAGGGCCATGTGGTAACGATAGCTTACACGGGTGGCATTCAATTTCACCACAGTTCTCACTGTACCATCGGTCATGATGCGTCGTATATAATTGAAATCTCCAACATAGAGGCTGCCATCGGGCGAGGCAGCTAGGGCCACAGGAGCCAAGAGCCGTTGTCGGGCAGCCAAACCATCACAGTCCATGCACTCCAACGGCCTCTGATGACCATCACCCATGGTGGTGAGTATGACACGGGGTTTGTTCTTCAAGTAAATATTGGAACCATCGCCTTTCTGCAGAATACCTTCATGGAAGTTATAACGATGATGGATATCCAGATTCCAGCCTCCAACTTCGGAAATGGACATGTCATGACCCGATAACTTTGTGGTCTGAATATCCCAAATGATGTCCTTGCAATCAGTGTACTGATAGCCCACCTTGACCACGGCTGTGGTCACACCATAGACCCTTTGGCGATAGATGTTCAAACGATTCCAGGCATATGTGAATTTGATGCCAGGATCAGCTTCGAATACCCGATCGAATAGAATACCCTCAATGGTGATACGTAAATGTATGAGATGCAGGGTTGGTGGGATGCTCTCAGGTGTTAATTGCAGTTTGATGGTGGATAAGTATCCGGCGGCCCTTGATGAATGATAGACTAGATTGAGACCAGTACCGGGTATCTGTAGAGACTCCTGGATGACTTGGGATTCAGCTAATATGGCACTTCGATCGGGACAGGCACCTTGGAAGCCATGCTTCCAGGAGGCCAAGACAACCGGTTTCATGAGATCGTAGTCATGCGAGAAACAGGTGTGGGTGGTGGCAGGCATACTCTTCTCCTCCGACATGGACATGACAACGGTATCGATGATGATGACTTCATTCCAAGGCACCTGGACAATGCGTGATTGGGGACGGAAGGGTGAGCGGCCAAATTGCAGGGTAACAGCACCGCCACCATTTACCATTAGATCAAACCAACCATCTTCACGGGTTAGGGTAAAACCTTCCAAAAGGGTTGTGGTGGAAACTCGGACGCCCACCAAACCCATGCCCAGAGAGGTGACCACACGGCCGCGTATGACAGCAGAACGGCTAAAGAAGGGGGGAAAGAAAAAGCGTAGAGTTAGTTAAGAACTGTAATAGGGGATCGATTTTTTTTTAAATTCTCAACAAAATATGAAAAAATAAAAATAACTTAAAATAATTTTTAAAAATTTCACACACACAAGAACTGAAAACATTCTCAGAACACTTAAGGTTTTTTTACATAAAACATAAACATATAGTTTTTCCGATATATATTTTTTTTTATTATGATATGGAAACCCAATAATTCCAACCTAACAAACACAAAAAGGATGTATGGCTGGCTTTTTGAAATTTTAAGGGCCAGTTCCTAGAAGGTTGCTTGGCAAATTGATTAATAAAATGAAAAATAAAAAAGTAAATGATTTAAGGGAAGAATGTGAAATTTTCAAAATCTACTTGAAAGAAAAAGGTATACCAAAGCAAAAAAAAGGAAAGTATGTAACTACAAAACTGCCCTCATGCTATTTTAAAAAAATATATTTCCTAAAAAACGGTGGTGTATACCCCACTTTAAGGAAATATTTTTTTAAAAAAGAATTCGGGCAAAATTATATAATTTTTAAAGCAAATGAAATACCAAACAACCAGTTTTTTTAGTAGTTCTTAATCTCAAGAAGTCCATCTTACCTTGCATTGAAATAATTCCAAAAAATGCTGTTAGTTTTATTGTTTTTTTTTTTTTAGAGAGATGAGGTTAGTTTTTTTTTTTTCAATTTCGAACGGGTTAGGCATGATTGTTTTTTTTTTTTTAGCCGAATGTGAAGTTAGTTTTTTTATTATATTTTTGTGATGAGAGAGCAAAGGCGCGCGCGTTTTCGTTTTGTTTTTTTTTTTTTAGTTTGAGTTGAGGGGGAAAAAGTTAGGAAGAGAAAAAAGAGCAAAGAAAAAATTTTTTTGACATTAGCAAATGTTTATTAACCAAAAATAAAAATAACCCCATGACCAAGAAAATATAAACCGAACCAAAAACCAAAAAGAAGAAAATGATTCCTAAAACCATAAATAAAAATAGGCCTCAGCTGATTCGTTGGGTTTATTTTTTTTTTACATAAAACAAAGGACGTTTCATATGTATAAGGTGGGAGAATTGTTGAACATATATTTTCATTGGATGGGAAATATTTGTTGTTGTTTTTTTTGTTTTTTGAGGATAGGGGAATTTTTCATAGACAGGGTCACAAAACTTAAAAAAGTAACATTAAATAAATATTTATTTGTATTTACATATATAGAATTGTTATAAGGCTAAACTAAATGAAAACTTGTTTAGAAGGGGTTTGGAGAACTGTTTTTTAAAATTATTATATTTTACGCTTTAGTAATTTATATTGAAAAAGAACTCGGCAGAATTAAATCCTAACAAAATTTTTAATTAATTGACATTTTAAAACTATTACATATTTTTAAGCTATGGGCCTTCTAAATTTATGAAATTATAAAACCCATCTTGAACTATAAAACCCTACAACAGCTAAACACAATTTGAACTGTATATACCTAAATTGATAGAAATCCCATTTCTTTACTATAGAACCCTAACAAGTATAAAGCAGAGTTCACATAATTTCATTAAGTTTAAGCTTTTTTTCAATTGTATGCTCTAAATATAAATTGAAATCGAAAAAAAGTGCCACAAAACATCCGAGGACTTCTAAATTTATGAAATTATAAAATTCACTTCGACATATATAATCATAAAACAACTAAACACAATTTGAATTGTAGAACTCTACACAGGTACAAACCCATTTCTATACTAGAGAACAATGATCCGTTTTATGCAGAGATCACATTAATTCATTAATTTTAAGCTTTTTGAATTTTAAGCTCTAAATAAAATCTCAATCGAAAAAGTTCCAAATAAAATTCGGGTCCTTCTAAATGTATGAAATTATAAAATTCAGTCCGAACTATACAACCCCAAAACAGCTAAACACAATTTGAACTGTAGAACTCTACATAGATAGAAAAACCATTTCTATACTATAGAACCCTGACATGTTTTAAGCAGATTTACTAAAGATACCTGGCAATTGGTTAAGTTTACATTTTTTTCAATTATATGCTTTAAATATAATCTCAAACGTATCATCAAAATTGTCGGCCTTCTAGATGCATGAAATAATAAATTCCATTTGGAACTACATAACCCTTAAACAACTAAACTCAATTTGAACTATAGAACCCTGTAGTGTTAAATAAACATTTCTATACTATAGAGCCCTAATTCGTTTGAAGCAGGGTTCACATCATTTCATATGGTTTATAGAAATACTAAAGGTTCCTGGCAATTGATTAAGTTTTGATGTTTCCTGTTTCTATTCTCTTAAATATGAACTTTCTCCCTTCTTCCAAACAAGTTTTCTTTTATAAATATGTTAATTGCAATTTTTTTGAAACCAAAAATTGGACCCAATTGTTGTTGACAGAGAAAACAAAAAACCAATATTTCTAATTTCTAAGTCTCTAAATTTCAAAACTTACCTTTCATTGAAGGTTTCTAATTTGGCATAATTTTGCAGACTACTCTCGTCAATCAAGAATTTCATGCGTTCAAAGAAGGAGGCCGTAATGGCGGGTGGTTGTTTGCGTAACAAAACGTCAATGGGTTTGGGTGCCGAGACACACAATTGCGAGGTTTTACAAACATGACTGGCACAGCATTCAGGATCTTCACAATCAACCAAACCATCTGATGAGGGAGAGAGAAAAAAGGTCACATTTAATAAAAAACATTAAAAATGTATTACAAAATCGCTTACCCTTATCATTATCCTTGCTATCACCACAATTCAATTCCAAGGCAATGCCACAATCTGGACCATCCCAGCCTTCATAACAACGGCATTCCCATTGACCTTCGCCGCTGACACGACACTGACCATGACCGCTACACGAGTTGGGACAACCTTCTATGGTGCAGTGTTTACCATTCCAACCGGTCACACAAAGGCAGGTACCGTTCTTACACTGGCCGTGTTCGTTACAACGTAAATCACACAATTTCGTATTGCAATATTCACCACCCCAGCCATCGTCACAGGTGCAAGCATCACCCACACAGCGACCATGTTGACCACAATCCAAATCGCATAATTCCTTTGAACAATCATCACCGCTCCATTTGGGTTCACATGTGCACGATTGCGAGTCCAAATCGAAGCTGCCGTGTCCCGAACAGTCGGGCAGACATTGTAAGGCATCCTGATCCATGGTTGCACAATCCGGCCCCTTCCAGCCTTTTTTACATATGCACGTACCATCGGCGCAGAAACCATGACCCGAACATGTGGGATGAGGGCAATCGACTAATGGGAAAGGGAAAAAGCGAGAAAAAATTAAAATAAATGAAAATTACAATGAAAAGTGATATGGAGAGAAAAACACACAAGATTTAAAAATAAATAAATATAAAAAAATAATAAATTCATTCCTAACCTGTAACTCTAATCTAGATAAGGCATTATCAGACGTAATGGTTTTACATATCTGCTGTCACTCTTATTTTCCATGTGTATGTCAAAATTGTCATTTTACATATGACTTATAATTTTCGCTATTACACGCTTCCATATGGTTTTTTTATTAACTTTGATTATATTGTGATTATATGGAGTTTTATAAAAAATCATAAGCTTTTATGGATAAACTTTTACCGTAAACTTAATTTTACAAACAAAGAAATAACACTTTCGATTAAATTATATTTTCCCGATGAAAATAGGGCTCGCTGTGATCGAAAAAGTAAATGTAAAAACATTTGGTCTAATAGAGCCTTAATTTTGTTTTGTGATTTTCCATTGCTGGCAAATTCAATTCAAATCAATTTGAAACGTAAAACACACAACTCGTACTTAACATAAAACGAATTATTTTGGTAAAATGAAATAAAAAGAAAAAAAATTGATTTCCAAAAAAATGGAAATGAGAAATATTTCTAAATTAAATCTGAACTTTAACAAATGATTTAATAACTTCAAATAAGCTAAACCTAACCTTAACATATTGCACAAATCATCAATAGACAATTCTCTCTAATCGGGTAAAATGAAATAAAAAGAAAAAACTCAACCCAACAAAAAAGGGCTCGCTATGATCGAAAAAGTACGTATATACTTTACTACTAATATAACAACATTTCGGCTGATAGAGCCCTAGATTTGTTCAGTGATTTTCCGTTGCTGGTGAAATAAAATGAAACATAAAACATAGAATTATTTTGGTAAGATGAAATAAAAAGAAAAAATATTCGTTTTTCATAAAAAACGGAAGAAGAATTATATCTAAATTAATCCTACACGGTTATCCTAACTCCACAGATGGTTTAGTAAAATGAAATAAAAAAAAATATCCAATTTCACTGAAAACTAAACATAACCTTAAAAAAATTAGCACAAATTATCAGCAGAATTCAAAACAACCCTAGTGAACAATTATAGAAATATAACAAACGTTTTATTCTGTAAATAAATAAAATAAAATAAAAAGAAAAAAATTAACACCTTTGCATTGCAAAAAATCCCAATTTCCCACCATTCGATTAAAATTAAATAAAAAGGAAAAAAACTCAAACCTAACCAAAAAACAATGCAACTTAAAACTCCAACTTTGCCTACTTCGTACACTTGCTTTACCTTCTTCACAGAATTTTCCTTTATAGCCACGCATACACTGGCATTTGCCACTGACACAATGTCCATGACCATTACAATCGGCCACCTCGCATTCATCGTGACGCAGCGAACATTCTTTACCCTTCCAGCCGGGATTGCAAATACATTCACCATTGATATATTCACCATGCTGCGAACACAATACGGGGCATACACTTTCGCTACAATCATCACCGCCAAAACCGGGATTACACTGGCAATGGCCCAGCAAACACTGGCCATTACCCGAACAGCCATTGGGGCAGTTTTGTGTCATATCCTCGGCAATTGTGGCATAGAAGGTGATTTCTTGGACATCTCCATCGTCGTTGTACAATGAGACAAACCAATGACCGGGTTCCATGTAACGGGTTACTTCACGTGTTATCGATTGCTGAACGTGGTTGAATGTCCGTGATCAAGTCCGTGAGAGGATGGATGTTTTGAAAAAAGCGGTGTGGTGAAATGAGAATGTTGGTTTGGTGGGTTTTGGGTTGTGTGAAGTGGTGTTGAAGGTGTGTATATGTGTGTGGAGGGTGATGAGAGGTAGCATGAAAATACACAAAAAAGAGATACAAAACACATTAGGTTAATAAAAGCCGGTTTTAGTAATACACCACATAAAAATATTGTTTTAAAGGGAACCAAAGACCATTTTTTAGAAATCTATAAGAAAAAGTTTTTACTTACATGTGCCGCCCTGGTGGACCGGGTACTGGCACTGAAGCCACTCAGTACCTCCTTGAAATGATATTGGGTATGTGTTGGCAGGGCATTGCGACGTCCATAGACACCTATTGAGGCTCCTCGTGGTATGGTATAATCAAATTTAACATAAGCCGGTTCCGATTGATAGAATTGCATATTCCAATAGCTATAGGGTTGAATTTCCTTGGTCAACTTTTGACCCAATGTAATTTGACCGAATGTGGTGCCATCTGGTGGGAAACTGCGAGCTGGGAATGTGCGAGCACCTTTTATGTAGAGTGTGTGTGAATAAAATTTCGATTTTCCCCAATTGATGCAGCACAAACGAGATAAAAACGAAATAATGCAAGTTGTTTTGGGTTAGTAATATAATTAAATTTTGGGTTTGTATATAGTTTTTTACATAGATTTTATATTAAATGAGTTTTTTTGTGTGTGGATTTTACGAATAATTTGTACAATTGTCGAAATGAAGTCTTTGGGGCGCCAGAAAGGTTTGTCGATTCTTTTTTTGATTTATTTAGGTTGTTAATAATATTAGTTTATGTTGTTGTTAATGGCTTGGTGAAACTGTGTGTTAAAATTGTTTGGGCGCCAGATTTGTTTTTTAGAAATATTTTTTTTAATTATTAAAATTATGCAGTGAACTGATTTGGGCGCCAAATTTTGTGTTATGTTTTAAAGATGTGTGTTCAAATCAAAAATCTCGACATCTGACTTCCAAACTAAAGATGAATGAAAATAAATTTCCACCTTGTTTTTCCTCGTTTTTTTCTTATTTTTACCGTAAAGAACTCAGGTCTCTTTCAAATGTGAGAAAATATGATGTAAATGCTGTCAGTTTTATGTTAGAGTTAGCACATGACGTAATGTATACGTAACGTAACCCTTTAACGTGCAAAAGGAATTATGTGTCCCTGAAATTGGGTTCTGTTGATCGAAATGATATCAAGTTGAATTAATTTTGATTTAGGGTTTTGTAGATCGAAAAAATGCCAAATTACATTAATTTTGATTTAGGGTTCTTTAGATCGAAATGATACCACGTTAAATTAACTTTGGCTTTAAAATGAGTAATAATTGGACATTGTTTTTTAATTTCGGAAACTTTTTTAAAACCTTGTCTTTCACAATAGAATTTTATTAAAATAATTTTTTGCCAAATATAAGTAAAATGTTTAAAATGCATTTCGATTTAATGAAAATGATTTCCAATTTATGTGAAATTAGTGCCAACGTATGTTCTACATGACGTACTCGTGTTTTTTTTTTTTGATGCATAAATTTTGAAAAGTTGTCATGAAATGATGCCAATGCCTTGCTTCGAAAATGAAGTGCAAAATGATGCCAAATTGTTATTTTTTAGAAAAATGATATATGATTTATTTACATAATTAAATTACTTAATTTTATGATAATTTAATGGTTCCTAGAATATTTCTTAAAAATATTATTATTATAACTGTACATATATTTATTATTATTATATTTTTGTTAGGCCAAGAAAGTTAGTCCTGTTAAAGGTTAGATAGTTTGTAGAACAGAAACCAAAAAAAAAAGCCACAAATCACCTTCAAGTATAAGTATAGGCATAACATCAGGACATGCAAACTTTTCACCATTCGTTAGATTAGTTGAGGCAACAGACACCACATCATCATCATCGTTATTATTATTATTTGTTTTAGTAGTGCCAACATCCAGCTCTGGCATATTTGTGCTAGTCATTACATCAAAATCACTAACATTTAAATTATCATTGGTAGCAGAATTTATTGTGGATAATGTGGTAGCAGCAAATGTCTTGGGCAAATGTTTTGTATCCAGTCCGACTTCATTGAAAATGTCATTGTCAAAGTCATTATTGTCATTGGGGGTTTGATCAGCTGTCTCGGACGAAAAATCAGCTGTGGCAAAAGAGAATTCACCGCTTGGAGATGAAGAAGCCAATGAATCGGTTGTTGTCTCCGCAAACAAACCACAGGCACATGGACATTCGGGTATCGGAGGCGGTGGTTCTGGTATACAATATGGACTGTTTTCAAAGTTCCTCCCATTTTCTTCCAGTTCTTTGGGTTTCTTTAGAGGTTCTATAATTTTTTCTTTGTTTGTGGCATTTTCTAAATTATCTTTGATTTTCTTTTCGGAATTCAATTTGGCTTCTACGACATTGGGCGCCATGAGAGCAGCTGGTGCCTCTTGGGGCAATTGTTCATGTGTCAGAACTTGTTGTACATGCTGTATCTGACCATTTTCCTGGAATGCCGGAATATCCACATGCAGGGTGTACATATTCCCCGAACCATCATTGGTGCCAATGGTTAAATTTACCACAATACGTTTATCCGTGGCCGGATGAGGTAATATTTCTGTTTTAAATGGTTTCAAGGTTTCCAGTTTTGGTGGTGGTGGTGGTGCCGAAGTTATGGGTTGTTCGACTAGCTGCTTTAACAAACCCCTTTGGGCCATCCATTCCTCTTGGCGATTTATAACTTCATTCCAATGTTTACTGTAAATGGGTGGCTTCACTTTTTTCGGTTTTTGGGCAACTTCCAAAGATCTATTATCAACAGTCTTATATAGCTCATCCTCCGAGGAATGGGTTTGCTCCAATTTAACAATATCAATATCATCCAGTTCTTGGGCATATTTTACATCGTGATGTGGACTTAAGGGTATCAGGCCATCATTGAGCATTAGATTGTCCCATGACTCGCCACTAAACTTGGCAGCATCTTTTGTTAAGCCATCAATAACTTCATCTTTTTCTAACACTTGTGTGTCCAGCAAATCTTCCTTTGTTGTTGTTGATGTTCCTAAATAAATGTCATCATTGCTGTCAAATAAATGATGGCTATTAAATGTCATTGAATCACCATTATCCGCCGGCTTGGCATCATCATCATCACCATTGTCGTCATCGTTGTCTTCCCCAGCATTGATGATTTGATGGTGGTGGTGGCGATTGATATGAAAATTATTACCATCTTTATCATTTTTCGTATTGTTGACAAGATTATAAGTGTCATCGTTTTGAGACGACGCCGAAGTAGATTTACTCTCATCATTATTATTCACTTGTTCATCTCTTATTATGGACCCATCAATTATGTTATCGATATTTTGATTTATGTCGACGATATCCTTGGGGGAAATCAATTGTTTGTTGGTGTCACCCTGTGTTAGGCCATTCATTTTCAGCAACTCCTCTTCTTCTTCTTCGTCATAATTGTAATTTTCAAAAATTGTAAAAGGTTTGGAAGTTGTCGAATCCATGGGATCCTCATCAAGTAGGGGTATTACTAAATCCTCTTCTTTATTGTGGAGATTAGAAAATATTTGTTCATGTTTTGGGTTTATTTTTTCAATTTCCTTTTCCTCTTCCTTTCCCTGATTATCAAGAGTTTTATTTTGATTAAGTTGTAATATGTTATTACTGTTCAAACTTTTATCATTTATCGAAGGCAAGCTTGTCACTTCGATGTCAACGTCCAGGCTTTGTGTAGACAAAGTTGAATCAAACTTATTGCCATAATTACTTTTCGATATTAACATGGGATCATCTTCATCGTTCTTAACAACTTCATCATCGAAAGGACTTGCTGTCTTGTCATCATAATTTTGTGTTGTACTTTCATACAACATCTTCTTTGCATCTTGAATATTTGTATTGCCATAGTACTCATCAAACTCCTCTTCATCGGAGTTGTCGTGGCGCCCAATGTTGCCTGATGATGCCATAATTAATTGTTCGAAACTTTGTGCCACCAAACTTCGACGTTGCCTTTTATGTGGCTTTGTTACCGGTACGCTTTTGTTCGGCGACTGGTGGTTACCATTTTCCACAGCATAGATATAATTTTCCTCTTTTTCGTTAAATTTGGAATTTTCTTCATCATTTTGGTGGTCTATTATCCACTGATTTGAATCTATTACGTCGATAATATATTTTGAATTTAGTTCAGGTGGATTTTTAGGCAAATGAAAACTTATACTAAAGTATATGGATCTACTACATTTGAATATATTTTTAAAGAATAGTAAATTGAAATTTCAGATGATTTTCAACTTTTTGCGCAATGAAAGCTGGGAGAATTCTCGAAAATTCTTACATATTACGAAGAAAGTGTGTTAGGAAATGTTATTCGTAACACATGGGAGAATGTTTTTGCCAAGCATGTAAACCCTCTAGCTCCTAGTTCTGTTGTACTTTTTGGTCCCTTTTCGAAAAATTGATAACAAAGATTTCTGAACTTTTGGGGTTTTAAAAAATACCTAAAAGTTGAAATGTAAACGTTAAAGTTTCGGAATATTCTTGAGAAAAATAGACAAAGGATGTTGCTATATGTGTAGAAATACAACAACGTTGAATTAATGCTGAGAACGCAATTATGCAACTATGTTTGTTTCGAACGAAGTTGGCTGTATTTTCCACATATTTGCGCATAGAATCTTCATTAGATTCCCAGAAATTCTTACATTTTACAGATAGACTGTCGGAAGGAATATTATTCGCAAGGCTTTGAGGAACATTTTTGTCATGCACTTTAATCCTCTAGCTCCTCATTGTATGGGAATTTTTGGTCCTTTTTTAAAAAAATGATTAAAAATACTTTTAAACTTTTAGGTTTCCAAAAAAGTAAAAAAAAAAAAACCATTTAAACCTTAACATACTATCTCGAAATAGTTTAGAAAAATATTCGTTAGAACATTCTACAAGAAGTCACTTAACATAACAAAATTGTATTGTTGCTCTGTGGGCAAAATAATACAACTATGTTTGTCTCGAACGAAGTTGGCTGCAGTTGTCTCATTTTTAGATTCATTAGATTCCCAGAAATCCTTACATTTTACAGATAGATTGTCAGGAGGAGTATTATTCACAACATTAACCATTAACCTTATTCACAGTATTAACCTTCTAGCTCCTTGTTGTATGGGACTTTTTGGTCCATTTTTAGAAAATCAATATAAAATACCCTTGAACTTTTTGCTTTCTAAAAAAGGCAAAAAATTACCATCTAAACATTGGCATGTGATCTTAAAATATTAAAGAAAAACATTCGATACAACATTATACAACATGTCTCCAAATATGATAAAATCTAATTATTATTCTGTGTTACAAAAATGCAACTATGTTTGTTTCGAACGAAGTTGGCTGCATTTATCTAATTTTTTGCGCTTTCAATTATCATTAGATTCCCGGAGACCCGTCAATTTTAAAGATAGGTTGTCTGAAGCAATATTTTTTACGAGGCAGTGAGGAACATTTTTGCCATGCGCTTTAACCCTCTATCTCCTAATTGTATGGGACTTTTAGGTCCACTTTTAGAAAATCGATTAAAAATACTTTTAAACTTTTAGGTTTCCGAAAAAATCAAAAATTAACATTTAAGCCTTGACATTCAATCTCGAAATAGTTCAGAAAAATATTCTATAAAAAATGTAGCAACAAGTCAATTAATATAACAAAATTGAATTGTTGCTCTGTGGGCAAAAATGCAACTATGTAAATAAGTCTCGAACGAAGTTGGCTGCAAGTGATACTAATATATCTAACTTTATTTTAGAGGTTTGCTGTCTATGAAAAAAATATTTCACATGGATTTTAATTATGTGGCAACGAATAAAAAAATCGATATCCATTAAATATCGGGAATTTCAAGAATTGAATAGTTTGAGGTTAATTTTTAAAGTTTTTCCGCGTCAGCCTAAATTTAGCAGTACTGATTTCATTTCTTCGGTAATTTAAGGAAAATTTATGTAGGACATTCCCTCGTTTCCAAGCAGTTTACTCGAAACTCCTCCTCTCTTTTAAGAATCAGCTGGCGGAAACTACACATTCTCTTCTCTCCCCTGACTTCCTAACAAATTGCTTTGTCAAATTTCGTTTTCTACAGGCTGTAGTCGCTGCTTCTGCTGCATGAGGGTGTGGACATTTTGTTTTTCTGTCATTTCATTCATTCGTTGATTCACAACGCCTTCAAGACGTTTTAGGTTTCACACTTTTAATTATGCCCAAGAAATGTGTTTATAATTTAATTACAATTTGTAGAACTAAACGATGCTAACAGATGACGTAGGATAATGTCTTCGTTTTTTTTTTTGTTGTTAATGTTACGAAAGGACTTAGGAGAGAACGAATAGAATGATAATTTGCTTGAATTCGAAAGGGCCGTGTTAATTTTTGTTTCTGGGTATTTAAACGGAATTTATTTTGAAGACATGAAGGAGTAGGTGGGGGGAGGAGATTTAATTTAATGAGAAGGCAGCGGACAGGGGAGAATTTAAACAGCTAAATTTACATTGAGAAAGGACAGCAGATTTAAGATTTCTAATTTTTTTTTGTTTGGAAAATATTTTTTTTATTATTTTGAATTAATCTTGAAATGCTATCTCTATAAATTATATCCACTGATTTTTTATGTTCAGAAAAACTAAGTGAATATTTCTCCTACTGACATTACTTTGAACTTTTGGGTTTCCGAAAAAGGCCAAAAAATACTATCATATAATCTTAAAATATTTAAGAAAAATATTCGTTAGAATATTCTACAAGAAGTGACTTGATATAAAAAAATTGAATTGTTGCTTTGTGGACAAAAAAATGCAACTATGTTTGTCTCGAACGAAGTTGGCTGCATTTGTCTCATTTTTTGCGCTTTCAATTATTATTAGATTCCCGGAAATCCTTAAATTTTACAGATAGATTGTCGGGAGGAATATTATTCGCAAGACATTGAGCAACATTCTTGTCCGGCACTTTAACCCTCTAGCTTCTCATTTTATGGGACTTTTTGGTCCTTTTTAGAAAATCGATTTAAAATACCTTTGAACTTTTGGTTTTCTAAACGTTGACATATCATCTTAAAATATTTAAGAAAATTATTTGTTTGAATATTCTACAAAAAGTCACTTAATGTAAAAAATGCAATTGTTGCTCTGTGAACAAACAAATGCAACTATGTTCGTCTCGAACGAAGTTGGCTGCAGTTGTCTCATTTTTGCGCATTCAATTATCATTAGATTCCCGGAAACCCGTAAATTTTAAAGATAGGTTGTCGGGAGGAATATTATCCGCCAGACATTGAGGAACATTTTTGTCAAGCCCATTAACCCTCTAGCTGCTCATTTCATGGGACTTTTTGGTCCATTTTAGAAAATCGTTTTAAAATACCTTTGAACTTTTCGTTTTTAAAAAAGGTTAAAACTGATCAACTAACCGTTGACATGTCATCTCAAAATATCTAAGAAAATCACCCGATACAACATTATGAAACATGTCAAACAAAATTTAATTACTATTCTGTGAACAAAAAATGCAACTATGTAAATAAATCTCGAATGAAGTTGGCTGCAAGTGATTTATTTTAGGGGTTTGCTGTCTATGAGAAAAATATTCCACACGGATTTTCATTATGGGACAACAAATAAAAAATCAATATCTATTAAAGGTCGGGAATTTCAGAAATTGATTATTTTCAGGTTAATTTTAAAAGTTTTTCCGAGTCAAGATAAAGTTACTTGTACTAATTTCATTTCTTTGGTAATTTTAGGAAAATTTATGTGAACGAAGTTGGCTGCATTTGTCTCATTTTTGCGCTTTCAATTATAATTAGATTACCGGAAATCCTTTAATTTTACAAATAGATTGTCGGGAGGAATATTATTCGCAACACATTGAGGAACATTCTTGTCAGGCACTGTGACCCTCTAGCTCCTTATTCTACTTTACATAGTGCCCTACAGTAGGGGGTTTCACATTTGATGATATGCCTGAAGAGTGCTGCCTATTCTAATAAAATCGTTTAATTTTTCTTTTCCCATTTAGACGGTTATTAAGACAAATTTATTATTCAACAATCGCTTGCTAAGCCAACAATTCGATTAGAATGTTTTTGACAGTTTCCATAGTTATTTTCTATTTTCTTTTGCAAATTAAGCGAAAATTTCCACTTAATATTTTATGAATCTGTTGACACTTGGTTGGTTGGTCGGTTGGTTGGTTGTCTCGAAGTTTGTACCATGAAAACTTACTTCGTTATTTTTCTTATTAATTTTCTTAACTCAAGCAATGAGTGATTTTCTTGTTTGTCTTTAGCCCTGGTGGGCGCGAGTGAGAGAGACATTTTTATTTTCAGTTATTTATTTATTTATTTTTTTTAATAACAACTCTTCTTCCCAGTCAACTCTACCCTGTCAAGGGTTTTCTGTTGTGGTTGTTGGTTGCTATTACCAAATGACATAGAAATCTTGAGTTGGCTTTCAACGCCATAACCCCCGAACAATATCAATTTTCTGTTGTGTGTCTTAGAATGAAGAACCCCCCTCGCCAAAGAAGAAAGTTTTTTAGTGTCTTCTTCTTCTGCATCTGCCAAATTCGTTTGGTCCTCCACCTTCCCCAGCTAAGAAGCATTCAAAATGAATTTTTCATTTAGCCCTTGTCGTCAGTGGAAGGCGTAAAAAACCGTTGCCTCAAAGTTTTACTATGCTACTGGTTTTTTCTTCTTGTTGTTGTTGCTATTTTTCCACTTCTCTAGCAATTTCTTATTTTGTTTTTTGTTCTTCTTCATCTTTCGTTGCTTCTTTGCTTTCTTTGTGTAAAACTCATTTAAAAATAATTAAAACTTGTGAATAATTACCTCCATTATTGGCATTTGCCAATGGTGATGACAGCGATGTAGACGACGATGATGGCGAGGATAGCGATGTGGCTGCCTGTGATCCTATGGCTACCGATGAGGCGGACGTTGACTGGAAGGCCGAGGAGGAGGCTGCCGCCGCCGACGAGGACGATGCAAACGATGAGGGCAGCGAAGAGGTGGCCGTTGTGGTGGGTTGTCCGGTTTTTGAGCGTAACAGGGAGTTGTGTAATTTCGATAGATCTGTATTGGTGCTTTTGGCCGCTGTTACTTCGCTGGCCTCGTTGCCGACTAGAACTGTACAGGGGGCAGAGGGAGACCAGTGGAGTACACCAAAACCTAAAAATAATTGCAAAAACAATTAATCTTCTACCAAAACAAAAAAGAGATTGCTTGAAAATTAGTTTAAATAACCCTTAACTCCACACTTCCGTTTCCGTTCAATTTTTCTTTTCTTCTTTTAGGTTTTTTTTTCTTTTTTTTGAAAAAAATCACACTCACCTGTTAAAAATATTAACAGCACACACATGGCCACAAACACAGATACCGATACAATGGCTATGCATTTGGCCGAACATCTGGCGGCCAAATCTTTGCGGAAATTCATGGGTGCCGAATAGTGATGTGAGGGTATGCCACTCATGACACTGCGTGGCGGAAGCACTGGACCCAGGCAATTGTTGGCCGAACGTTCATAACCTTTCAAGGTGTCCTTGGTGGGTGTCGAACAAGTCGAACCGCTTTTATAATCGATGGGTGAACCTTTGTTCATGTCTGTAAAAAAAGGAGAATAAAAAGAGAGGTTAGATATTAGTATGGCGCATGGAGCAAGTTCTTAAAAATAAAATATTGGAGTCAGAGGAAAATAAATCAAATATTTATGGTAACCAATTTTATATCTTCAGGATTCCTTCAATTCGCCTAAATTAAATTAAAAAAAAAAAACAAAAATCTAGAATTTGTCTAGTAGCCAGACATCTTTAAACCATTATTATTGTGTGGGCATCGTATGAACATAATATTAATTAATACAAGTCATAGCTGCATACCTAATGAAAATGCGTGTCATTGTAAACACATTTAAGCCTCCTTTAGACTATCTGTACAACTTGTTTATTTAATTTAGTTAATGCCGAAAAAAATGTTTATTATGTCTTTTTTAGATTTTGGTATTGATTTTCGATCAATTCGTTGACGTACACAAATCTAGAATTGGTTTAGTAACCAGACATCCATTATTATTGTGTGGACATCGTGTGAACATAACAGTACCCAATTCAAGTCATAGCTGTATAATAATGCCAACCTAATGAAAATTCGTTCCATTGTAAACACAGTTAAGCCCCCTTTAGACTATGTGTACAACTTGTTAACTTAATTGTTTATTAAGTCTTCTTTAGATTTTGGTATTGATTTTTGATTATTTCGTTGACGTAACAATAATCAATGTTCTTTTTTTAATTTCCATTGTTTTCAAATATTTAACTATTTTCGTTTACGTTTAATTAAAGTTTTTTTATTTGAGCCAAATATTTTCCCATGGCTTTTCCCAGGAATACAGCTACTATATTGTTTGGGAATTATCTTTAGGTTTATTTTGTTGCTATTTCTAGCTAAACAATTTCAAATAAACTTTTTGACAATAAACTAAACTAGTTGGAAAAAAACAAATAAACCCCCACACACACACAATGCCACCATAAACAATTCGAGGGATATCCGAGGGGGAGGTAGACGCCAAAATAAAAACTTTAGTTTAAAAATAAAGAGAGAACAATCAACAAAAAAAGTTCTACACACTCACTCACACACAATATTATAAAAATGTCACACAGAAAGGACCAAAAATAAAACGAAGAAAGTTTTACGCTTCATTTTAGCTTTAGAAGGATAAATGTTGACGTGCCAATTTTTAACAATTAAATGTTACCACACACTTGCTGGAAACCCTTGGTCCCTTTTTATTTTTTTTTTTTCTACAAATAATTTGTTGTTGTGTATTGAGATAAAACTTTGACGTTTGAAAAGAGAACGAGAAAAAAACGTGCAAACAATTTTTATTACAAAACCATTTACACACACACATTGAAACGTTTTAACCATTTTTATTTTGACATTTATTGCAATTAAAAAAAGAACATCCAGTAAATGCGAGAATTATTTGACAACCCAGGGACTTGCCCGCATAACTTTTAGGGAGAGATAGGGAGAGAGATAGAAAAAATGTCAAACTAGAAAATTGACAATTATTTGAAATGTTTTTGTAGTTAGTTAGCAAAATTAACTTCTTTTTTCATTACGTACAGTATTTTTGATAATTATTTAACAAGAAAAGTTTTTGAAAAAAATTAATAGTAAATATTTTTTTTTTATTCCAAATAAAGTTTGTAATGAGTTCTTTTGTTAAACGGTAATGAATTGTAATGTTTGTCATTTAGTTTTAATGGGAGAACAATAAAATAACAAATTATAAAACTAGTTAAAATATTAGTTATTTAAAAATATATTTCAAGGGAAAATTATTGCATAAAATTCGAGGAAAATTGGCATTTGAAATTATAGACAGTAAACATGCCAGAAAATCATTCGATAAATGGAACGCATTTCCATAAGGTAGGCAAATGAGTATGCGTCTCATTCATGGTAAAAGAATACAGGTAGTCGCATCGGCACAGCTGCTGCGACAATGAATTGTCAAACCAATTTTGGAATTGACAATTTTGAATGAAAAATGATTGAAATTTGGTAAAATTGTTGAAAAATATATATCATAAGAAAACATGTAAAAATCGACTTATTTTTGTCAAAACGTTTAAATTTTTTTTGACATATCAACCTTTGCCAGTGTTGATTCTTCTATCCAAGTAAAACTGACATTTGAAGTTATAGATAATAAAAAATGCAAAAAATCATACTCGAAATGGAACGCATTTGCGTCGACGTATGCGCTTCACATCTATGAAATAAAGCCAGGTTCAGACGACAACAGCTAAGCGATAATTATTGCATTAATATTAAGAAAAAAAAAATAGTATTTTTAATTGTAGATAAAAAATCTCTAAATGGAACGCATTTCAATAAGGTATGTACATGGGTATGTTTGTCACTTCAATGAGATAAAGCCAGGTTCAGACGACACCAGCTAAGCGATAATTATTGCATTAATTTTAAGGGAAAAACAGCATTTAAATTTGTAGATTAGAAAAATCTTTAAATGGAACGCATTTTAATAAGGTAGGTACAAGAATATGCATCTCACTTCCATGAGACAACAGTTAAGCGATAATTATTGCATTTATTTTAAGAAAAAGAAAATAGCATTTGAAATTTTAGATTAAAAAAATCTCTAAATGGAACGCATTTCAATAAGGTAGGTGCAAGAATATGCGTCTCACTTCTATGAGATAAAGACAGGTTCAGACAACAACTAAAAATTATTAAAAAATCTCAAAATGGAACGTATTTTAATAAGGTAGGTTCAAGAATATGCATCTCACTTCTATGATATAAAGCCAGGTTCAGACGACAACAATTCCTTAATGCTAACTGGCCACAGTTGCCATTTTTATAACTTTAAGTTAAAGATGGATGTCTATATTTTATTTTATGCCCCACAAACCCCATCACTTATCTGCCAAATATATATTTCTTAAATCTACATAAAAACAGACACAAATAAATCATGTAGATTTGTTGATGTTGCTGTTGCCGTTACATCTTTTATTGTATTTTATTTTTATATGTCTGGCTTGGTAATGTGATTATAAACGTTATCGATATACTACTGTTGAAGCCACTACCCAAACATTAACAACTCGCAGTCCTTAAGCAAAGCTAAAAAGGCAAAGAGAGGGGGTGCAAATGACACACAAAAAAGGAAACGAAAAACTGCAGACAAACAGTCAAAAAAACTTTAAGCATACGCACCCTTAAATATTGGCGGACAAGACTAAATGAATTGGCAGACAATGTTGAGCAAAAATCCAAGGACTGACTTCATGACGGAACAAAGAGAAAAAAAATCACAAAATTGTATTCTAAAACGGGTAGATGTTGCCTGGTGTTGGTCCCTGTCATTTGCCACTGACACTGCCACTTACATGTCACTTAATCGAATTATCATCAAAACATGGCGTCAAGCAAAATAATAAAGCTCTCCCACTCTCTCTCTCCCCCACTGAAGAAGAAAAAAAGATTTGGCCACCCAAGCATGTCTGCTTTTTGGAAATTCGTTTAGTTTTGCCAAACTTCCGTGTTATGGTCAAAGTGAATTTGTATTGTGGCCAGGCATTCTGCGTTGATTTTTTGTTCATCCACTGTTTGACATCTACCAATTTATTATCGCTGGTTAAATACCTGGCCCTTCCACCAAAAAAAAATCAACCCAAAAGGAGAAATAAAAAGGAAATGAAAACGCAAAAATCCTCTGAAAACTGAGAAATACCAAAAAACCCATTGCTGATAATAAGTGAATGCTAAAGCAAGCCATTGCCATGTTTGAGGTTATGTCCATTGACAAGTTTTTTTGTTTTTGTCGTTTGGTATAATCTGAATAAGTATCCTAAACGTTGACGAAGGAAAGAGAATATAAATAGAGAATTTTTCCCTTAAAAAAATAGAATGCTGTCTTTGCCTCTTGTGAGGAAAATCTCGGTATAGAGTTAAAGTTGCATGTTATTCTGGAATTTCTTTGTCTTCCTTCTTTAATCTTTTCCCGAGGAGAATATAGAAAAGGAATGATTATGGGGAGAACATAGAAAACGTGCCAGGAATTAGGTGTGAATTTTATGGGTTTCCTTGTCCAATGCCACAATGGACACTGGAGGGGGGTTTAAAAACAAAAAAACGGGAAGTTTAGATTTATCCTTTAATTGATTTACCCCTTTTCTTTCTCTTTCCCCGATTTTTTGTTTTTAAGAACTGAAAAAAATTGAATTGATTCAAATTACATTTGGTGCACGAAACTTGTAGGGATTCTGTTTTAAACAAGTTACAATGTAAACACTATTAGTTTAAACCATAAAAGCTTTAATACGAAGAAAACGGACACATGGCACAATCAGTAGGTATTGGATTTAACGTATCTGGATTAGTTGTCTAAACACTTATTGTGAATAAAACGTAAACAAATTTTGACAGTTAGTCTCCTTCCGCCATGATATGATATGATAGCAAAGAATCGATGAGTAAAAAAAATAAAAGTTATATTAAATTAGACAGCTTTAATTTTTTTTTATAAAACAAATTGCAATGTAAACACCAAAATTTTAAACATAGAAAGCTTTAAAATGAAAAATAACGACCGATATGTGATTAATCGCATGGTTGCCATAAGAACATGGCATAAAAAAGGTATTTTGGGTTCCGTTATAGTCTCAAATGTCATATTCCAAAAAACAACGGCGGCAATAATGCAGGTGTGACTCCGATATCTCCAGGCCAGGTTTTCTCTAATGCAAGTCTTCTCTAGCTTGAATGGAATATCAGAAATAGGTGAAAGGAATCAAAATAGAAATTTTCATAGAATTTAATTTGGAAACTGCTGGAAAAATCTAGCAGGGTTGGAAGTTAAGAATTGCTTGCTACATTTATTTAACATTTCATAAATAACCTCAATAAATAGGACTTCCAATAAGAACACCAAAAAAGCATTTTGGGTTCCTTTATGGAACCCAGATGTCATTTTACAAAAAGCAACGGCGACAAAATTACAGGTGTAACTCCGATGTTTCTTTATAATTTTATATATCACAGGCCAGGTTTTCTTTTATGAA